TACCAGCTGCAAGCTTGGGAGCCCATAAGACTCTGTCCACTTCTGACCAGCCGGCCCCTTTTCTTTCTCATCCCTATCCATCAGTGGGTACCAGCCGCAAGCTCAGGAGTCCATATGACTCCCTCCACTTTAGACCAGCCAGCCCAAATTTGGGGTTTCCCTTTAACCTCTCAGGGTACTAGCCACAAGCCCAGGAGTTCACGTGACCACCTCCACTTCAGAATAGCTGGCTCCCCTGGATCTGATAATTTGCTAGAACAACTCACAGCTCACAGGAGACACCATGCTTGCAGTAACAGCTTTAATATAACAAAAAAGTATACAAATGAAGAGATTCATAGGGTGAGGTCTGGGAGGAGTCACAGCATGGAGCTTCAATATTCCAAGGGGACACACTACCCTCTCACCAACCAGAAAGCTCCATGTGAGCCTCAGGGTTCCAGGCTCTTATTGGCTTCACCAAGTGACCATGACAGATTACATCATGCTTCATGAGGTTTAGTCAGCATCAAGCGCCCAGGTGGTCCCTCTTGGGCTGTCAGACCCCAACTCATTAGCCTCAGGTGTTTATCTGGCTCTCAGGAACCAAGACCAAAGACCAGTTGGCTTTCTGGAAAGTGATTCCACACCTTGCAGGGGACAAAAAACAAAACTTAATGAAGCCCATAAAAAGTGGTCTAGGATTGTATTCCTATTAATTTAATCTGAAAAATAATTTAAATGCAAAAACCTATGTGTTTAAAGATATTTATAGTGGTAATATTTAAAATAGCAAAAAAAAAAAAAAAAAAAGAGAAAAAACCCTAAATGTCTGATAATAAGTAGGAAAGTGGTTAATCAATTCCGATAACTCAGTAGACTATTATAAAGCCAGTAAAATTGTAAACCTTAAGCCTACATGGGGAAGTGTACATGAAACAAGTGTTAGGTAAAAAAGTAACATGGACTTTTACATATTCTAGTCTTGTGGCTCTCTAAAAACTATTTAAAGGTGTAGACAAAAATTGGAAGAGGCCTTAGAGAAAAGCAAAGGATGGTAGTTATGTGTAGTTATTATGGATATGTTTGTTTGATAAACATTTTAAATCACAAATAAACCAAAAAACCCATTGCCATTGAGTTGATTCCGACTCATAGTGACCCTAAAGGACAGAGTAGAACTGCCCGTAGGGTTTCCAAGGAGCACCTGGTAGATTCAAACTGCTGACCTTTTGGTTAGCAGCTGTAGCTCTTAACCACTATGCCACCAGGGTTTCCAAATCACAAATAATAAATAAAGGCAAATATTTCCCACTTGGACAATCCAAAGATTAAGATTTCTAAATACCTGAAGCCAGAGAGGTAAAATGATAGCCAAGTGAGAAGTTTGAAATCCCCTGTCCCTGACTGAGTGTGAAATGGCACTGGAATGTGAACATATTCTTTTTTCTTCCTTAAAAAATACTACCTTAAAAAAGTGGTTTTAAAAAACAATTATGGAATGAACAGATAGTGATTGGTGTGAGTCTTAGAAGATACCAAAACCAAACTAAACCCACTGCCATCGAGTCAGTTCCGACTCAGAGACCCTATAGGACAGAGTAGAACTGCCCCATAGAGTTTTCAAGGCTGTAATCTTTGCAGAGCGGTTGGTGGATTTGAACCACTGACCTTTCAGTTAACAGCGAAGCGCTTTAACCACTGCACCACCAGGGCTTCTCTTAGAAGATACAATGGCCCTTATATTTAGAAGATACAAGATTCTCATCTGAAAAAGTCTGTCAGGTTTTTTTGAAAAAAGATTATAAGTTCTTTATCCAGGTGGGCTTTATTCTCAAACTCTTGCAGAGACAAGTGCTGAGGGAAGTATTAGCTCCATTCCGTGGGACTGTAGAACCTCTCACTGGTTCTGGAGGCCACCAGCCCCAAAGGTCCTGTTTACCTGCAGCTAAACTTTTAGAGCTCACCCTTTAGGAAAGCTGGCCCCGGGGGGATTCTCCATACCCAAAGGTAATTGTCCTACTGCCCTGCCTCCACCCAGGAATTTTGGCTGGCATGGAGTCACCAAACATGAAACATTCCTGTGCCTCCTTCTCAAAGGGCACTCTCAGAATGGCAGAGTCCCTTAGGAGACCTCATAACTCCAGGGGTGATGGTTGGGGTGAGTGGAAGCGGGGAACATTCCTCTGCCCTCTGGGTTCATCCCTATAGGGAATACAGTAGTAAAGTGTGTGTGTGTTGGGGCGGGGGGGTGGCTCTGAGGGAACTGTCCACTCCACAAGATAGGGTCCAAGAATCTCTGAAAGGCCTGTTTTGGACAGTGTGCAAGCTTGCCATCTTATTTGCTAAATTGCAACCTCAAGGGTGGCAGCGAACAGTGAATGCCAGCTGGTGCTTGTGAGACATTGTACAGCTCATGCAGTGATATTAACATGCTCATGTCAGGGCTCACTCTTCTCCATCTGTCATGTCTGACAGTTCCCATGCATAAAGTGTGGCAAAGTGTGCCTTTCTCTGTGTGGCATAGGCTGAGTCCATTGCAGAAATCCCCAAATGCCAAGAATCAACCCATGACATGGTGAGGAGGTTGGAGAAGGATCCTGCTCTCCATGCCAGTCAGAGCTGGGGATAGCTGGGGATTAGTCACAACCAAGGACAGGAAGGGCTGGTTTTAATATGACTCTTGTGTTTTCCAGGGTAGTTCTCTGCTGTGTATGCCCAATGTCCTCAAGGTGTATTTGGAGAATGGACAGACGAAAGCTTTCAAGTTTGAGGCAGACACAACAGTGAAGGTATTAAGAGTAACCTCGAATCTCTTTCCCAGTAAGGATTTGCTGACTGCCAGGACCCCCCAGGCATCGTGCCCTATAGCTGCTCTTCTGGTCTCACAATCACCATGATCTGAGTGCCTGCAATAAGCCAAGCACTGTGTTATCATTTAGTTGTACAGCCACCCAGCAAGATGGTGTTTTTATCACCATCTTGCAGGGGAGGAAATTGAGGCTTAGAGAGATGAAGTGACTTGCCCAGGGTCATATTACAACTAGTCTCATAACCACTAGTTCACTCTTAACTGCTGGGCTTCCCTGCCTCTCGTGTGTGATTCTACCGGCTACCCAAAAGACCAGAGCAGCTAGAAACCCAGGCAAGGTGTCAGACGAGACCCAGGTCCCCGCATTTTCTGTTTTGCATTAAAGTCAGTTCAACTTATACTGACCAGGTGTCTCTGTCCTGAGATGCATTGAGCAGGGTACAGAGCTAGAGGTAAGGGTGGCCTTTGTCCTCAAAGGCCTCACAGTTAAGAGCAGGCGGACATTCAAGGAGCTCCCAGTAGTCTAGGGCAAGATGAAATAAGGGCCATAAAAAGGGGACAAGGAAAAAGGGAGAGAGCTCTATCTGTTCCATCCCATCAGGGCATCAAACAAGGCTTTGGAAAGAAGCTGGCACATGAGCTGCACCTTGAAAAACAACAAAGATTTCAGTAAAGGCAGGTGGGGACAGAGCAATTGGGAGTAGGGGAGATGTCAGTCTGAGGGAGTTACGTGAAGCAATGCAGAGAACCAGTAAAACAGAATATTGCTTAGGAAATAGTGAACTATCCAGTGGGGCTGGAGCAAGGCAGTTTTCTTGGGAAGGAGTGGGAGATGGCACAGGCTGATTGTAGAGCCTCAAATGCCAGGCTTCAGAGTTTGGATTTATCTAAGGAGAATAAGAGATGGCACTAATAGTTTTTGAATAAAGGAGTAAATAGTGTTAGAGTGAGGCTCCAGTGAAGAAGCAAACAAAGGAGTTGTTTAAACATTAAAAAAACATGGAAGAGTAAACCTTGAGACAGCTCTCCTGATGCTGGGGGAAAAACAGGTTCAGGTGGGCCAATGGGCTATAGGTAATGGACAGTGGCCAAGACATACACATACACACACACACGCACACATATGCATAGGCACACAAATGCACACTTGCATGTACACACCCAGTGTTTTTCTCTGATGTCTTCCTTTGGCAATTTCTAGAGCAACTCCAAAAGTCCTATCCCATTCTCACCTTCCTGAGAGTGTAAGTTAGGAGACGCTGGAGCAAGCCTTTCTGAAACTGGGAAGCTCCAAGCCCAGAGGAGGAAGTCTGCCCTTACGGAGGAATGGTCTTGGTTTATTAAGTGTTTACCACATGCCGGGAGCCCTGGTGGCATAGAGGTTAAATGCTCAGCTACTAACCTAAAGATTGGTGGTTTGAACCCACCAGCTGCTCCGTAGGAGAAAGATGTGGCAGTCAGCTTCTGTGAAGATTACAGCCTTGGAAACCCACGGGGCAGTTCTGCTCTGTCCTACAGGGTGACTATGAGTCGAAATCGACGGCAGTGGGTTTGGCTTTTTATTTTTTTGTACTATATGCCAGACACTCTTCTGGCACTTTCTTGCATATTATCTCATTTAATGACCCTAATGATATTGTGAAGTGACCAGTGTTATCCCCACTTTGCAGACAAGAAAACAGGCCCAAGAGGTCAAAAACTTGCCAAGGTCAGCTAGCTCATGACTGCCTTCAAACATGATCTGTTTCTGAATCCTGCACTGGAGCTTGCTGCTCTGCCATGCTGTATGAAACGGAAGCTTTGCAGATGAATTAGACAAGGGCTCTGCTTCTGTCGTCTTTGATCAAAGTGGACTGGAATGTGTCTTAGTCATCTAGTGCTGCTGTAACAGAAATACCACAAGTGGATGCTTTTAACAAAGAGAAGTTCATTCTCTCATAGTCCAGTAGGCTACAAGTCCAAATTCAGGGCATCAGCTCCAGGGGAACGCTTTCTCTGTTGGCTCTGGAGGAAGGTCCGTGTCATCAGTCTTGGTCTGGGAGCTTCTCTGCGCAGGACCTGAGGTCCAAAGGACACGCTCTGCTCTTGGCACTGCTTTTTTGGTGGTATGAGGTTCCCATGTGTCTCTGCTCACTTCTCTCTTTTATATCTCAGAAGAGATTGGCTTAAGACACTATCCAATCTTGTATACCTCATCAGTGTAACTGCCACTAATCCATCTTACTAGATCATAGTGATTGAATTTACAACACATAAAGAAATCACATCAGATTACAAAATGGTATACAATTATACAATACTGGGAATCATGACCCAGCCAAGTTGACAGATATTTTTGGGGGACACAATTCAGTCCATGACAGAATGGAAGGGATAATTTATTTAAAGTATATCCCCCTTTGGTGGTCAAAAAGACTTTGAGGTGATTTACAATAAAATCACACATCACAGGGGAATGAAGCCCAAGATGATAGAGAGAATTGGAGAAACAAGCAAGGACTTAGCTGGTATTATACTGTAGTAATCAACATTTTTTAAAGCAAATCTTTTAGCTATTTGTGACACACAGAAAGAAGGATATAAGCAAATCCTATGGATAAAAATGGAAAAATCACTGTCAATTCATCAGTGACTTCTCTTGCCCTCCGTTACCAAGGGAAGCAAAGTCCTTGTATCAGAAAGCCCTCTTTCCCTAAATCAAGGAAATTTTGTTGTGCAACCCAGTGAACAACCAGCGACACTTTTTGTGTGCCAGGCATTGGACTGAGCTGGGCTGTTGGTGGTACAGAAATAAATTACTCAGGGTCATGCCCTTAGGAAGCCTGAGTCTTAGGTTGGGGCTGGGGTGAGGAGATGAGACCTGGGGACAGCTCACTATGAAACGGTACAGTATGTTAAGGATCATGAAAGCAGGGCAGAAACTGCATGGTGCAGGCTCAGAGGAAAAAGGACTTCCAGCTGGGTGGCAAAAAAAAGGTCTCCTTGGAGTGGTGAATCTGAGGCAGATTTGAAAAGATAGATGGGATTTTGACAGGAGTGGGTGTGAAGATAGCATCCTAGGCATGGGAATCGGACCAATAAAGACCCGTTGCCGCCGAGTCTATTCCAACTCACAGTGACCCTATAGGACAGAGTAGGACTGCCCCATACGGTTTCTAAGGAGCACCTGGTGGATTCGAACTGCTGACCTTTTGGTTAGCAGCTGTAGCTCTTAATCACTACACGACCAGGGTTTCCTCCTAGACCAGGGGTCAGCAAACTTTTTCTTTTAAGAGGAAGACAGTAAATATTTTAAATTTTGCAGGCCATACAGTCTGTGTTGCAGTTATTCAACTTTATCATTGTAGTGAATGGACATGGCTGTGTTCCAATAGAACTAATTACAAAAACAAGCGGTGGGCTAGATTTGGCCTGCGGACTGTGGTTCACCCACCCCTGCGCTAAATGCAAGGTGAAGGACCAATAGGTGGCAGGGAGTTCTGTAAGACACCACTGTACAAAGCCAGGAGAAATGTGTGAACTCAAGCCAAGGTGGACATAGGAGAATAGAGAAGAGGGCACAGAGTAAAGAGACTGGCATCCTACCATGGCTGACACAATGCCTAACACAAAGTAGGCAGTGAATTAACATTGAGTTGCTGAAGCAGATAGACTCTTCAGGACTTATTAACTTGCTACCTATGCAGCTCGTGGAGCAGGCAGAAAGATGATTCACAACTCTCACAAGGAGCAGGTAATACCTAATGGTTTTGGACTTACAAGATTTGACTTACGAGGCAGGACTTCTGTGATGAGTCTATGATGGTTATTCACATATTAAGTGAAAGCTTATCAAGTATCTACAAGTACCAAGCATTGGGAATATAATAGAGCACAAGATGGGCAAGGTTCACATTCTCAGGGAATTTACCATCTACTGGGGTAAAAGATAATAAACCAGAAAACAAGTATTACCAGCTAGCATGTACTGAACACTCAGCATCTGCTTGGTACTGTTTTAAGTGCCTTATGTGAGGAAATTAAAGTATACCATAACCCTGTGAGATAGATGTTAATATATCACAATTTTACAGATGAAAAGACTGAGGCGTAGAGAGAGTAAGCAGTTTATCCAAGGACACACAGCAGGGACAGGTAATCTAGATCTAGAACTCATTCTCTTAACTTCCCTATACTGTTTGTTACTAAAGATCATAGCTGTTATTGAAGAAAATAATAAGTGAATAGTGATGAAGGAAATAAACAGGGCGCTGGGATAGAGAATAACAGGGACAATCACATTTAGATAAAGTGGCTAGAGAAGGCCTCTCTGAAGAGGCCTCTTAAGCTACGACTTGAAGAAAGAGAAACAGCCTAGTGAAGAGTGATGGGAAAAGTGTACCAAGTGAGAGAGTACCATGAGTGAATGCCCTGAGGCAGTAAAGAGTTTATGTGGAAAGAGGATCACTGTAGTGAGGGAGGGGAAAGTGGCATGGCAGTTATGCCTCAGCATGGCCCAGGCATTAATTACCTCATTCAATCTTGTCAGCCACTCTGACAAGGAGGTCTTACTATCCTCCATCATTATCCACAGAGGAAGAAACTGAGGCTCAGAAACGTCAGGTCATTTTCCCAGTCACGTGGGTGGTGAGATACTGTAAGCAGTTGGAGATGCAGATTGGGAACTTCACAGAGGGGATGAGCCCAGAGACCTTGAAGAAGGAGGCAGAAACCCGTATTGGACAGCCTCAGCCCTCCCAGTAAAGAAAGTGGGTGGCCATATGAGTTGTACTGGAGCCCTGAGGAGAGGAGGGCAGTGGGTAGAGGTCTATAAAGGATGTTAAGAAGTCCTACAGGTGGCCTGACAAGCGGGAGCTGAAGGCCCTAATGAAATTCAGCTGTCTGAATTAGCAATGGACCCAGTTGGCATAGGCGTTTCTCTCCCCAGCTGCACCGAGGAACAGAGAGAAGGTCAGGGAAGTCTTGCTTGGTGCCCAAGCATGAAGGCCTGCCCACTCCTCAGGAGTAATTAGGGTGACCCTGCTCTTCTCTGTGCCTGATAGGACATCATCCTCACAGTGAAGGAGAAGCTGTCGATCCGAAGTATTGAATACTTTGCGCTGGCCCTGGAAGAGCAGTACAATGTCTCACGGCTGCACCTGCTGCATGAGGAGGAACTCATACAACAGGTAGGGAGGACCGGCCACCTTTTCCTGGGAGGAACAGCTGGGCAGGCTGCACACCTCAGCCAGAACCTTTGGGGACAGGGCTCAGCATATCTGCAGTAAGTTTGATGCATTTTCTCATGCTCCAGAAGGCTGAGTATACTCAGCCTGGGAATACTGGTTTTCATCTGCTCCTAAGAGGTATGCATGGCATAAGTTTAAGGTCCCCATTTTACAAATAGGAAAACAGAGGCTTAGAAAGGTAAGGTGACTTACTCAAGGTAACAGAGCTGGTAGAGCCCTGATCTTCTAAGTCTTAGGATTATCCCCTGTGCCTACTGCCTTTGAGATGTTAGAGAAGCATTTGGTTCTGGGTTTAAGCCCTTTTTGTGAGACTTTTTTACTTTTTTTTTTTTTTTTTACTTTTGTGGCAGGAGAGGGCAAACATAGCCAGTGTGTCTGTACCACGCATATCTTTTCAGCCATTCAGTCATTCATTGTACCAACTTTTCAAAGCGAAATACAGGTTAGTTGAGTAAACCTGGTTGAGTGCCCACTCTTGCCAGGATGGGTAGGATTTCAACAGGTGGAAAAGGGGAAGGGAGTTTTTAAGCAGGGACAGCATGAGCAAGGCATCATCTTGTGGGCACTACTCTGAGCAGTCCTTATTGCAGATGAATTCTTTTTTTTTTTCTTTTTTTTAATTGTAGTTTAGATGAAGGTTTACAGAACAAACTAGCTTCTCATTAAACAGTTAGTACACATATTGTTTTATGATGTTGATAAACAACTCCACAACATGTCAACACTCTCCCTTCTGGACCTTGGGTTTCCCACTGCCAGCTTTCCTGTCCCCTCCTGCCTTCTAGTCCTTGCCCCTATGCTGGTGTGCCCCTTTAGTCTCGTTTTGTTTTATGGGCCTGTCTAATCTTTGGCTGAAAGGTTAACCTCAGGAGTGACCTCATTACTGAGCTAAAAGGGTGTCCGGGAGTCATACTCTCAGGTTTCATTGCAGATGAATTCTTACTCCACTCACCTTCTAATAACATTGCTTGAATTTTTTTTTTTTTTTTATCACTTCTATTCCATTTAATTTGGAAAAGACAATGAAACTAAATCTCTAAAGTAGTTTAAGTGAAATAAAGGCAAGGTGCAAATACTATTTGCTGAAAAGAAAAGAACACACATATCGAAGCACATATATCCATAGCCTGTCTCAGGAAGGGCACGTAAGGAACTGGAAATGGTTTCCTCTAGAAAGGGGAACTGGGAGATGGGGACAGAGGGGACCTTTGCCCTTTTGAACCTTTCACATTTTATTCCAGTGGAAAAGAATGTCAAACTAAAAGCAAGTCTATAGCTGTCTTGAAAAGCGTTAATGTTGAAATCTCCAGGGACTATCTTTCATTGTCTTTATTTTTTAAAGTTGTTTTCTGTAACAACTGCAAAGGACAAATGCAGTTAGAAGATTAATGGTATCTCCCTTACCCATCGCAGGTGGTAGAAAGGGAAGAGTCACATGACTACCGCTGCCTCTTCAGGATGTGTTTTGTTCCCAAGGACCCCCTGGACCTCCTGAAAGAAGACCCTGTGGCCTTTGAATACCTCTATCTGCAGGTGCCTGGGTCTGTGCTTCCTAAAATAACAGTGACTGTTCTCAAAGCTGGCACATTGGATTATTTTGAACAAGAGCTCAAGGCAATTAAGCTACTCCCTGGAATTATCTTTATCCAAAGGAAAATGGGACTGATCATTGCTGTCACTGAGTTGCTGTCACTGAGTTGCCGTGTTAGGAGATTTGCTATATGATAATGAAATTTAGGCCTAGTCCTCAATGTAGACGATACATTTTCTAATACCTTTTTAGGATCATTAGAGTTACAGTTTTTATTTCTAAAAGGGGCTTTAGTGCTTCAAAAGCCTCATATTAGAGATGACAAAATGGAGTCTTAGAAAGGTCATGTAATTTGCCTGGGTCACCCATTTAGTGGAAGAACCAAAAACTGGTTCTCTGACCCCTAGCCATACTCTAAGGTGGGAAACAGCATAATAAATCCGAACTTAGGTGAGATTTATTATGTTGTTTTCATTCTGATGAAAGAATTATGTGGCAGGCATCACCATTTTACAGATTAAAAAAATGAGACGAGGTACATTGACTTGCCTTAGTCTTGTAGAAGTGGTGGTAGTAAATAACAACAACAGCGTTTTATATTTGTATACTGCTATGTGCTTTGTACATGCTTTTATATGTTGTTTGTCGTGTGCCATTGAGTCAATTCCGACTCATAGTGACCCTAATGACAGAGTAGAACTGCACCTTAGCGTTTCCTAGGCTATAATCTTTATGGGAGCAGATAGCCAGGTCTTTTCTCCCGCGGAGCTGCTGATGGATTCAAATTGCTGACCTTTCTGTTAGCAGCCGAGTGCTTAACCATTGTGCCACCAGGGCTCCTATGCTTTCATTTACATGTTCTAATTTAAATTTCACAGCAACTGTGTAAGGTAGGTTTTATATCCTCATTTAGCAATGGAAGACACTGATGCTCAGAGAGTCTCAGTAGCTTAACCAAGGTCACACAGCCAAGGACGGACCGAGCCAGGCCTCAAAGGGGTCCTGCTGCCTTTTGCCTGAGAGCACTGGGGAACACAATCCGTCTGTTCCTGTTTCCCACCTGCTCTGATCTAATCTCTTCTAGAGCTGCAGTGACGTGCTCCAGGAGCGCTTTGCCGTGGAAATGAAATGCAGCTCTGCGCTCCGACTTGCAGCCCTGCACATCCAGGAACGCATCTATGCATGTGCTCAGCCACAGAAGATCTCTTTGAAGTACATAGAGTGAGTGGCAGGAGACTTCTGTGTCCATCAACAGCAGCTGCATTGCATTTATAACTTGGCTGGCCCCTGGCCAGGATAGCCAGATTCCACAGAAAGCTGATATTTATCCACCTATCCATCTGTCGGTTGTCTTTCCATGCATTTCCTCCTCCACCCTCTCCCACCCAGGCTGGCACCCCCAGATGTCAGAACCTGACAATCCCTTTTAGAGCAGAAGCCAACTCCAGATGGAAGGACACAGGATCCCCCTTGTAAATTCTCAGTTCTTTGGAGGATGTCTTAGGAAATCGGTTGACAGCTTCAGTGTTAAACTCTTCTAAGGGCAGGAAAGCCTCGGAAATTAATCTTTCCTGGTGACTTGAGCCAATTCATGTTGCACTATCCCACTGAGACATTTTCAGGTCCCAGGATTCCAACATCTCTTGATTCTCGGATTAGGATTTCACTTTTCTCTGATCTGTATCACCCATGTTTGTTAACTCTCTCACCAAATCTTACTTCTGTCTTTTGTCCTAACTGGACATCAAAATCACATGGGGAATCATGTTTAAGAAATAAAAGAGATCCTTGGCCTATCCTTGAAGTACTGAGTCAAAACTCTTAGGGAATGAGACCAGAGAATCTGTATTTTTAACAAGTTTATGGGGACTCTAGGGAGTGCTAGGTTAGCACCCTTCTGAAGCCTGGCTTTGGGGATCCACTGGTACTGTTATCTCCATGATCATTGTTTGTCACAAATATTGTGGTAAAAAATGGTCCAGAACTTCTCCTGTGACTAATAGAGTATCATACCATACCAAAAGTAACGAGCTCCCACAATGGTCAGTGGAATTTAATTCCTGAATGGCTGTGGAGGATTTTTGTGGAGTGTGTGTGTGTATGCACATGCCCACATGCGCAGAATATATATATTTTTTTCTTCCGCTAGAGAAAGAGGCTTATAATTGCAGTCTTGTGGGAACACTAAGTACTGAATCAAATGTAATTATGCTCTTCATTAAAGCCAAGTACACTGTAAAAATGGGCCCCATTGTCTTCAATATCTCATGGCAGGAAAGACTGGGGAATAGAGAACTTTATATCTCCAACTTTACTCCGAAACATGAAAGGCAAAGACATCAAGAAAGCCATTAGCTTCCACATGAAGAGGAACCAGAATTTGCTGGAACCCCGACAGAAGGTAATGTGGCCTCTGCTGACCCACCCAGCTGTCTGTTGTGAAACCTCAGGGAGAGCATTTTCAACATTGCCTGGGTTTTAGGCAAGTGAACAACTCTGACTTCAATAATCTTATTTTTTTTCTATTTAAGCAACTTATTTCTGCTGCCCAGCTACGCTTAAATTATCTGCAGATCCTTGGAGAACTCAAGACATATGGTGGGAAAATCTTTAATGCTACTTTAATGGTATGTATTAGAGAATTGTGGTATCCTACTGTTACAAGGGACCCTAGAGGTCCTCTGAAAATCAATGTAACTTCTAGCCTGAAATTCCTGAGGACTCTGTCATGTACTGGGATTTGCTTGAAAAATTAATTATTAAGACATTAGTGAGTATTTATCATGCCCTTGCTTGGCACCAGTTCTGTGGTAGAGCTGAATGAGACATGATTCCCACCTTCAGAGAATCTGAGGATGAACAGGGTACCTAACAAGACAAAGCAGAAGGTTCTCAGAGCCATGAGAGAGGCTCAGGGCTATTGCATATGTGATGTATTTTCACTAGCTTGTGAGTGGAAACTAATCCCCTTTCTACCCTTCTGCAGTTACAGGATAGAGAATCCTACATTGCCCTACTAGTTGGAGCCAAGTATGGGATTAGCCAAATTATCAATAGCAAGCTCAATATCATGTCCACGTTGGCAGAGTTTGCAAATATCAGCCGTGTAGAGCTTATGGAAGAGTCTGAGAAAGTGAGCATGGTCAAAGTGTATCTTCAGGACATCAAGGTAACACAAGGGGAGAGATTCTGAATCCAGCCTCTGGAATTTGGGACTAAATTAGTATGGGATGGTTGATATGATTTTTGAATAATAATAAAGTGTAATATCGAACATTTGCTTAAGAGGATAGATTGTCCATCCTGTTCCATAAAAGGAAGTTTCCTGCACACAGTGCATTTTCCCGGGCAGGTCCTGAAAGGTTTCTTTGTATAAACTGAGCTGGACCATGTGCTTCCCTGATAGAGAAGTTGTAGCTGGATTTAGAAACTTTGATGGGAGCACCAAAGGATTTTATCACATAGCTATCCAAGCTATTCTGTGAATGGTGCAGGGTATGTCGTAAGCCTCTCTGAAAGGTCCTACATTTATCCTGACCTCCTTTGATCTAACTCTGACATGCTCAAGAATGGTGCTTTATTCTTATTATCACCCTCTTCCTCATCCCCCACTTGCTGCTGCTCATTCCTTTTTTCTACATCAGATCTTGAAGGGGCCCCATTGTACAAATGAACAGAGTGATTGGGACGGGGGCCTGGGAGTATAGGATGGAGGAGAAGCAGGAGACATTGTAGACATTGTAGAAAATAGGTGGGAGGAACCTATCGTGTGTGTGTATGTGCATACTTACTTCAAGCCTTGTAGGTGAGAATGTGGGGAACCAGAGGGCCTGCCTGTGGACTATTAACTGGAAGTGTTTGGAATCTTCCATTGATTCCACGTGGCCTTGTTGTCAGTCTTCAGATTGTCTCTCAATCCTTTATAAACACAAGAGCTCTCTTTACCTTCAAAGGTTCTGACTTTGCTGCTGGAATCCAACAGTGCGAAAGACCTAGCCTGCCTGATTGCTGGGTACTACAGGCTGTTTGTCGACCCAGTTGCCTCCATTTTCCTCTGGCCTGGAAACAAGCAGCAGGTGCACCGGGTGTCTGCTGAAGAAGGTGAGGTGCTGAGTCTTGCCCCAATTAGGACAAGCCCGTTTCTCTGATCTTGTAGGTAAGGGTAGCCTAAAGGAGGGGGGCGAATTAAGTCAAGCTGTGACTTCAAACACATTCACCTTAAGAGGATGAGAGCTATTTCCTCATTTATTTTTTAGTAAACAGTTGATCTTTCTTAAATCACTGGGGCTAAAGAAGCATTCTTTGTACCTAAAAGTATCTTAAAGCCAAGGAATACTGTTGAAGGTCTCTGACTGCCTGTAACATTTCCTGAAACCATCTCTAAGATCCATTGTATATTCTCATTATTTCCCAGCAAAATGTGCTATCACTTATATGTTCTGAAAGTACAGAAGACCTAGCTTCTCCATCCATGCCTGTGTGCTCTTTTTCACATTGTCTTGAATTATAATAGAAATTCTCTATCTTACATGTTTAGAAAAAGGGAGTAACTGGAGGTAGAAGGAACTTGAAATCATATCATGTAAGAAATGAAGCAGTGGAGGGCAGTGTGTTAGTCGTCTAGTGCTGCTTTAACAGAAATACCACAAGTGGATGGCTTTCACAAAGAGAAATTTATTTTCTTACAGTCTAGTAGGCTAGATGTCCAAATTCAGGGCATCAGCTCCACAAAGAGAAATTTATTTTCTTACAGTCTAGTAGGCTAGATGTCCAAATTCAGGGCATCAGCTCCAGGGGAAGGGTTTCTCTCTCTGTCGGCTCTGGAGGAAGGTCCTCCTCATCATCAGTCTTCCCCTGGACTAGGAGCTTCTCTACGCAGGAACCTCGGGTCCAAAGGATGTGCTCTGCTCCTGGTGCTTCTTTCTTGGTGGTATGAGGTCCCCCATTCTCTGCTTGCTTCCCGTCCCTTTTATCTCTTATAAGGTAAAAGGTGGTGTAGGCCACACCCTAGGGAAACTCCCTTTACATTGGATCAGGGATGTGACCTGGGTTAAGGATGGTGTTACAATCCCATCCTAATCCTCTTTAACATAAAATTACAATCACAAAATGGAGGCCAACCACACAATTCTGGGAATCATGGCCCAGCCAAACTGATACACACACACATTTTTTGGGGGACGTAATTCAAACCCTGACATTCCACCCTTTGGCCCCCAAAAAGTCACATCCTTGCAACATGGAAAACATATTCGCTCCATCATAACATTGCAAAAGTCTTAACTCCAAGTCCAAAATCCAAAAATTCCTCTTCATCTGTGAAACCTATAATACAAGTTATCTGCTTCCAAAGGTACAGTGGCAGAACAGGCACAAGCTAGACATTTCCATTACAAATGGGAGAAACTGGAGGGAAAGAAAGGATAACAGGCACCAGGCAAGTCAGCAGAACACATTACATTAGCCCTCAAGGCTTTGAAAATAATCTTCTGTCCTCTGAGACAATTTACACAGTGGCCCTGCCCTCCAGACTGTAGGTATCCTATGGCCACAGTCTCCAGATTCTGAGTGGAAGCCCCTCAGCCCTGGGCTTCAGCTCTGCCTTCCAGGCCCACTGGGACAGCAACTCTGCTCCCTTGGCTTTAGGCGCACCATTCTCCCAGTCCATCTGAGTGGCGACTCCACCCTTAGAAGCACCAGAGGCCATTGCTCCACCCTTTGAAACCCCTGAGGTCATGGCCATACCTTTTGAGACTGAGGCAGCTTGGCTTCTTGTGTTCCTTGTCTCTTCAGCTTCTGCTTCCGTTTCCTGTGGTCTCTCTTGCTGCGGCAAGTGTTCCAAAGCTCGGTAGCTCCACCAATAAGTGCCCGGAGGCACCCCACTCCACCAGAAAGCCTTAAGCACACAGGCACTCAGCTCTCTCACTCCATGGGTCTGCAAGCCTAGCTCTACCGATAAGTACCCAGAGGCACCCCACTCTGCCAGGAAGCCTCCTATGCACAGGCACTCAGCTGTCTCGCTCCATGGGTCAGCTCCAGCGCCGTCTGGCACTGGTCTCCTGGTTCTGCTGCTGTTGTTTCTCTGCCGCTGTCACTTCTCTGCTGCTGCAGGTTCTCTGCTGTTGCTGGTCCTCTGCCATTGCCATTTCTCTATCCACTCACAGGTTCAAAACTGCTTCCACATTTTAGGTATTGATTTAGGAAATAATATTGGAGTTATTATTCCCTCTCTGTGAGCATACAGAATGTGACCCAGCTGGAGTTGGGCTCACAAGGGCTCACGAGGACTCACAAGGACACATCAACTGGACCCTGAGGTATAAAGACAATAGCTAAAATAATCTTGGAAAATATCTTTTAGGGAAACTTTCACATAAAGCCGATCAAACACAACACAAAAGACTTGCCACTCTTAGCTTTTTCTTTTAGCATTTAGTGAATAGGAATTTGTTGGACCAGTGAAGACCCTCCTGATTCTCGTTACTGAAACCTGTACCAGTGATTGTTAAGAAAGATAATTCAAAATGTAAGATTACAATTTCCAGCCAATCAGTGAAAAAGTGACACTTTCAATGATTCTACCCATTTTGTGATGTTGATATATACTGATGATTCTGTAATATTCCTTGGACTCGGGCAGACATGGCTGTGGCAGTATGTTTGTCCGTTTTCCCATTCTTGCCTATTCTGTAATATTCTTTGGACACAGGCAGAGATGGCTGTGGCAGTATGCTTGTCCGTTTTCCCATTCTTACCTATTCTGTAATATTCTTCGGACTCAGGCAGACATGCCTCTAGCGGCATGCTTGTCTGCTTCCCACTTTTGTCCTTTTGAATATATGCCAAATAAAACTTTTTTCTTTACTAAACTTTGTGATGTTTTTCCCCTACAACAGTATCTGTTAGAGCAGCACCCCACTCTGGTATCAAATTCTGTCTTAGTTATCTAGTGCTGCTCTAACAGAAATACCACAAGTTGATGGCTTTCACAAAGAGAAATTTATTTTCTCACAGTCTAGTAGGCTAGAAGTCCAAATTCAGGGCATCAGCTCCAGGGGAAGGCTTTCTCTCTCTGTTGGCTCTGGAGGAAGGTCCTCGTCATCATCAGTCTTTCCCTGGACTAGGAGCTTCTCTGTGCAGGAACCTCGGGTCCAAAGGATGTGCTCTGCTCCTGGTGCTTCTTTCTTAGTGATATGAGGTCCCCCAATCTCTGCTTGGTTCCCTTTCTTTTTATCTCTTATAAGGTAAAAGGTGGTGTAGGCCACACCCTAGGGTAACTCCCTTTACATTGGATCAGGGATGTGACCTGGGTAAGGGTGGTGTTACAATCCCACCCTAATCCTCTTTAACATAAAATTCAATCACAAAATGGAGACCAACCACACAATTCTAGGAATCATGGCCCAGCCAAATTGATGCACACATATTTTGGGGGACATAATTCAAACTATGACAGGCAGGTAGATGAACAGTTTCCTGGGCCAATTCCCAGGTTCTGTCAGCTTTGCTTCGGCACTGTTGATGCAGCATCTTCCCATGGTACGCTGATAAATGTTTAACAACTGGCATTGCAGGGAAATAAAAGTCCTGATTTGGAGCAATTGTCTATTTCCATGGTATAAACACTCCCACCATGGCTAATTTCAAGCTACCAACGTGATGTCCCTGAACATGAAGTTGAGAAGAGATGTGCAGTAGCATAGTATTATATAGTATTTCCTCCTTATAGGTAAAGTAAATCACCTCAAGAGCACAGATAATAGTAAAATAATTAAGAAGGGTGAGTTTTGAGTACTTATTACTTTTGTTTTTAATATGATTTATTTACTTGTAAGTTTGTATAATTTATTTGTTTAAATGACTATGTTTAATAATAAAGTAGAAAAATTCCTGAAATTTTAACAATCAGATCTTGTGAACTAGTATCAGTTGACTTCAGCTATACCACTGAATTTTTCCTTCATCCCCATTACCCAGTTCTCTAGTACACCGAACAGGTGGAATATATGAAAAATTTCTTGGAAAAAGTAATTTACATTTTATAGGATTTGGCCAAAGATGTACTCAAAAATCCAAAACCAAACCCATTGCCATCAAGTTGATTCTGACTCATAGCGACCATATAGGACAGAGTAGAACTGCCTCATATGGTTTCCAAGGAGTAGCTGGTGGATTTGAACTGCTGGCCTCTTGGTTAGCAGCCAAGCTCTTAACCACTGCGCCACCAGGGCTCCAAGATGTACTCAAAGAATATTTATTTAATTATTAAACAAGAAAGAAGAAAAGTAATGAACTAAGCATCTAAATCAAGAAATAATAAGATAATAAAGCAACATAAGGAAAATAAATCATTTAAAAAGTTGAAAGCAGAAATTAGTAAATTAGAGGAACAAAATTGGAGAAAGAGTGAATTCATCACTTTGAATTTATGAAAAGTTTAAATAAACACTTGGCAAGTGAAGAAAAGTAGAAAGAAAACCAAACCAACAACATAAGGATGAAAGAGAATATAGCTATAGATCTAGCTTTTCCTTGATTTTAGAGTATTTCTCAGGAACAAATACATGGATAGGAACTGCAACTCCATGAGGCAGGACTGTGCCTGTCTTGGTCATCATTGTATCCCTAGTTGGATACTAGGGAGATACTTGGATACTTACAGAGTAAGTATGTGCTCAGTGAATATTGTTAAATGATATGGTCAAAATTTAAATAACTTTAAGAGAATACTATAGACAATTCCATGGTGATAAAATTGAAAGTCTGGGTAAAATAGATGCTTTTCTAGTAAAAACACCTAATTTGAGGAAGAATATCTAAACAGACCAGTAACCACAGAAAAAAAATTAAAACATTGGTGAAGAGTCGTCTCTAAAAGGAACACCAGGTCCTGATGGTTTTGAAGATGAGTTCTTTTAACCCTTCAAAGACTTCATGCTACTTACACCTTCCCAAACCACTGAAAGAAATGAAAAGCTTTCCAAATTCATTTTGTGTAGATAACATGACCCTGAAACTAAAGCCTGACAACCAGGGCCTGGTGCAGACGGGGAGAAGACTTTGCTCTCTTGCCTGGGGTCTTCCCACAGACCTGTGCTTGAGCACAGCCACAGCAGTAGTGTGGGTTCCCCCCTGCTGCAGCTTATCCCAGCACAGGGCCTCTGGGGAGCAGGCAGGGTGGGTGCAGGAGGACACACAGGCATTTGCCAGTCCCAGAATGCTGTTTTGTAACCCTTGGTGTCCCCTGTGTTGTAGGCTATGAATCCAGGGCCTGCAGTGACTCAGAGGAGTCCTCTGAAGTGGACTGTGTACTGGAACCTCTCTCCGACAGACGCCTGGTAAAGCTGCTGCCCTGCACACCTCTCATGAAAGAGGAGGAGCAGGAGCCTCCTGGGGACAGCGCCACCCCTGAGGTGGCCAGGAGAGGCCCAAGCACCTGTGGCTCCAGCAGCATGACAGACAGTGCCGAGTCCGAGGCGTCTGACTCAGCTAACACTGAGAACCGTGGCTGCAGGACCAGCGGCTCGAGCGAGTCCATGGATGCACTAGAAGAAGATGACTTGGATGCCTGCTCCTCCAGCAGGTCTGGCTTCTTCCACTTCGGCTCATCAGGCTTCCCAGAGAGTCTTGATTCCGACAGCCAAGAGGAGAGAGGCAGGATCGAAGCCAGTGGCTTCCTCTGTCTCCTGGACCTGGCCCAGACAGCCAGTCCTCAGTGCCAGAAGACAGACTTTTCTGAGAGTCCCACTCCTGAGATGTTCAGCTGGGGCCCGGAACTGAGCACAGTGAGACTGGACCCCAAGCTGTATGAGGACAGCCGGACTGACTTCTACAGCCTGTGCTCCAGCGTCTCCCCAGCCAGCCACCTGAGTGATAGCTCAGAGAGCACGGCTTCCCAGCAAGGGGGTCCCCTGCAGGCTTGGGGGCAGCAGGGCTGGCCCAAGGCCCAACCTAGCTCCACACTGGAAGCCTTGGCTCCTCACCCACCACTGGCCTTTGAGAATGGCAGCTCTGATGAGGAATACTATGACGCAGCTGATAAGCTCACACCCCTGGACACCCTCTCAGGTGAGCCCTTGCCAGCAGGTCTGCAGACTTGCCAACAATTTCTGAGTACCCACTGGGGGCAGGGACCAGGCTTGAGGGGAAAGCATGCAAATAAGACAGGGTGGTTGTCCTCTTTGGAGGCAGACATGGACTCAGTGGACCAAATTACTGGCATCATGGCTTTGAGTCAGGGCTGCAAGCGAGATTCTGAGAACTGTGGGCAAGCAGAGGTGGGAGGGATTCATTCAACAGGGGGAATAAGGACAGGCTTCCCAGAGGAAGTGGCAAATGGGCTGGGCCTTGTGAGATGGACAGAATTTACACAGAAAGGAAGGGAATTGACAAGAGTGGCCAGCAGAGGGAAGTGGCTGTACTTTTACTGACCTTGAAGCTACGGTAAATGAGGCCTCAAAGCCAGAAGATCCTCACTGACACGCCATCAGTGGGCCCGCAAGGCCTTTTGGGGTTCAAAGTACTCTGACATTAGAAGGCAGGAGATCTATTGGCCATGTTTTTTTCCAGGTTCCTCATCATAAAGAGTGTGGCGTGTCTTTCAGCACAGAATGGCTTTTTAAGTAGACCTGGGATTCTTGCCTCTGCCTGCCTTTCTCCTTCCTCCTGAGCCCTCTCTGCATTCCTGCCACCCAGAACTCTTTGCACTTCTTTGGAAGTGCTGCACTTTTCCCACCTCCGGCCTTTGCATGCGCTGCTCTTTCTGTCTGAAGCACTTCTCACCCTCATCTGGGCTGCTGATGCCCATCCAACTATAGGTCCCAGACTGCCTAGAGTGGGGCAGGCCTCCCCATCCCTATCACACGTTCTTACAACACCCTGGGCTTTTCCTGTCATTTAGCACTGTCTCTAAGCATATATTTATTTGTGTGATTTTATTTTATCAAACATTTATTTGATGTTTTATTCCCCTGCTGGAGGAAGACTCCTTTGAGTGCAGGAACTCTGCGTATCTTACTCATCACTATGTCCCCAGCAGACAGTGCCTGGCAGTTGCTGCTAAATGAATGAATGAACTCTCTACCATCTACGCTGTGCCCCTGGGGAAAGGAGAACCTATGGCCAGACTCTGCACTTCTCCCCAGAGAGTCTAGCCAGCTGCCATCCATGCCCCCGGCCTTGACCTGCTGGGCCAGCATGGTGCTGGGGGAGGCTAGGTTGTGACAGAGACCATCAGGCAGGGTCTTGCCCTTACAGGGTCTAGTCAGGGACATAAGGCCCACACTGGACACTTCCTTTTTTACAGGGAGCCATTGTGGTTCTGGGGAGAGAGCCTAGCTGTGGGACTCCTGAGCCTGGGTTCTGGTCTGGCCCCTGACTCACATTGGGAATTCCTCCCTTTCTGGGTCTCAGAAATGCCTTTGGTCAGTGGCTGTAAGTGACCCAGAGCAGTAGCTCCCAAACATGGCTGAGCATCAAAATCATCTCAGGCACTTGTTTAAAAACTATAGATTCCTAGGTCCTAACCTCATAGATTCTGATTTAGGAGGTCTAGAGAACGGCCTATGATTTGATAAATTTTTAATAAGGTCTGAGTGAAATAATTGCAAAAGACAAATATCATACAACTTCACTTATATCAAAAAAAAAAAAGAAAAACCAAGAAAAAGCAAATGTATAGAGAACAAAGTTTCTTAGTGGTTACCAGGGGCAGGAGGGAAGGGAAAAGGTAGGGGGGTTAACGGTGATGGAACTGTCTCACTGATTAAGTAAAGGTAGGGTTGCACAGCCGATTATTATAATTGTGTATTGTAAGTGCTGTCAATAAGTTGTACACCTGAAAAAGTTGACAAACAAAAAGAGTAACTTCTGAGGCTGCTTATGTACAACCAAAAACCTTATGGGATTTGATTCCTTGGTTTGGAGGTTTAGGGTCATGGTTTCATGGGACATCCCAGTTAATTGGCCTAATAACATGTTTAGTGTTTCTGTTCTACCTCCTAGTTTGTTGTGTAGTGCCTGGGGTCTTAAAATTTGCAAGTGGCCATCCAAGGCACAACAACTGGTCTCTATTCACCTGGAGCAACAGAGGAAGAAGGAGAGTCTGGAATAGGAGGAGGATATGGAATGTGCGGCTAATTGCCTCCATGAACAACTGCCTCCTTTGCCGTGAGACCAGAAGAACTGGATGGTGTCCAGCTACCGTTATTGAACATTTTGATCAAAGATTCTATAAAAGAATCCTTATCAAAAGGGGGAAAGTGTGAAACAGAATTTAAAATTTTCATGGACCCCAGACTTCCTAGAGCCATGAAAATTGGATTAACCCCTGAAATTATTGCCTTTAAACCTTAAACCAAAAATATCTCCTGAAGTCTTCTTAAAACCAAGCGATAGTTTAACTTAACTAATAAAAAATGTCTGGCTTGAGCATTATACTCTTAAGAACTATCTAACCCATTGCCGTCAAGTCGATTCTGACTCGTAGCGACCCTATAGGATGGAATACAACTGCCCTATAGAGTTTCTAAGGAGCGGCTGGTGGATTCGAACTGCTGACCTTTTGGTTAGCAGCCGAGCTCTTTATGCGCCACCAAGGCTCGTAACAACTATCTATATATATAAGAACTATCTATATGGGATCAAATTGGTAACAGCAACTTGAAAGATTAGATAGAAGCCTTAGCGGGCTGTGAGTTTATGTCAGTGGGGGAGGAACAACTCAGAAAAGGAGGGTGAGAAAGGTTACACAACTTGAAGAATGTAATCAATGTCACTAAATAGTACATGTTGTAAATGGTACGTGTTGAATTGGTTTATGTTTTGCTATGTATATTAACAACAACAACAAAATAAATTTAAAAAAGAAGGAAAAAAGCTATTAATAAGGTACAGCCAGGTTGGAAAAGACTGGTCTAAATCATCTATAAGAATCCTCTGAGTCTTAAGTGCTGGGCCATGATTCTAATTCCTTCTTGCTGACTCCAAGGACTTCCCTATTAGGGACAGGCATCATGCTAGGCACTTCATATACATTAATGTATTTAATCTGCATGACTATACTGATAGGTATTAACTGACTTGTGTTAACTTAAGCACAAAGGAAAAGTCTTAGGAGGACTTAAGTTAGCTTACAGAATTGCCGGCAAGGCTTAAGAATTGGATTCAGACATGGATAGCAACCAGACCAGAAGTCTGGGTAATAGAGTTCCTCATCCGTATTGAAAGGATATTGTGGCTGGAAAGAATGGACCCTACTATTATTTTAATCAATGTGTTCAAGTTTGAAATTCTAAGGAATTTGTGGGTGATTGGCTGGGTCATAAATCTAACCATTTGGCTGGGTGGACAGGGTACCTTCATTAATAGTTTCAGAGTCTGTAACCAGTGGGGAGACAACATTCCCTGAAAATTTGGGGTACTGTGGCCAAAAGACAACAAATGGATCTTGGACAACCAAAAATTAAAAAAAAAAATGTCGACTACAGTTATTATCCCTACTTTTCAGATGAGGAAACTGAGGAGAGTATGATGTAGTTTGTCCAGGGCTACACAGTCCAGCCAGAATTTGAGCCCAGATAAGCCTGAGTCCTGAAACCTTGCTCTGTAAAATCTCTTTGTTTTCCTACTTTTCACATTCTTTTATCTTTCTTGACTCTCAGGGCCCAGAGCTGTTTCTGCTCTAGAACCCAGTGCCACAAGCTTGCAGAGTAAGGCCAGCACTTGCAACCCTGAGGACAGCCTGAATCCTGGGCCAGATGGACAAGAGCCAAGCAGAAGAGGAGGGAAGAAGAAGTATGCCAAGACCCTGAGGAAAAGAAGGTCTTTCCTACAAACTGACTACACCTCACAGGTCTCATTTCCCCTGATGCCTTCAGCCTCCCTGGAGAGCGTGGACGATGTATGCTACTATGACAGGGAGCCCTACCTGGCTCTTGGTGCACCCTCACCAACTGTGTCCTCCCTGCAGAACATGCAGGGCGAGCCCAGCCTCCTGGAGACCAAGGCCCTGGGACTGCTGGCTCCCCTGAGGGAGGCCAAGAGCAAAAACCCAGCCTCTAGGGTCATGGAGATGGAGCCGGAGACCATGGAAACCAAGTCGGTCATTGACTCTCGGGTGTCTTCTATTTCTGCCATTCGCCTGCGGATCGACCCCAATCATAAAGAAAATTCTGGGGTTGCCCCTTTGACTGCCCCTGTCGCAAATTCCCCAGCAAGCACCCCTCACTGTTCCAACCCAGGTTCATCTGGCCCAGATACTGCCCAGGCAGGACCTTCCCAAACCTTATCTGCATTTCAAGACCCGGATGGCAGTGCCCCCAAAGAAGTGACCATGGAGCTTGGGGATAGCACTTCCCTCTTCAGTACTGATCCTACCCAAGACAGGGTATGCCTGGCCATCAGCTCAGGCCCACATAATGTCTCTCAGGAAGACACACTAGAGCTTGGAGCAGTCCATTTGGAAACAGGATTGGGATCTTTGTTTATAAATCATATGCAAGAAACTGCCCCCAAATACACAGAACCTTTGTTGTCTCCTGGAGACCAGCCCGGAAGTGGTGAATGTGGAATAAATTCACAAGAGAAGATGGCTTCTTTCCCTACAAAGGAGGAACAGCAAGGACAAATATCTTTGGAAAGTGACAGAAAAGTTACAGACAAAAATGGCATCAATTTATTTCAGGAGGATTCCGGGAAGGATTCAGGTGACCCCAGTGGTGACCTGTCAGATGCTGTTCCACAGGCTCTTGGTGTTACGGCTCCAGCTGGTATAATAATAGCCTCCCTCTCCTTGGAGGCTCCTGTAACAGGGACTGAGCAGACCCCAGCACAACCCCCCAGGGCTCCTCAAAGACAAAGCAGAGACACTCCAGGCCAAGCCTGCCAGACCCAAGAACAAAAATTATTGGCAGAGTTGGATTTAGATACTGATTTCTTGCTGGGGGACCAGACCATTCCATCAGCCTTCCCTCCAGAAGGGGTCAAGGCAGAGCTGCTTAACCATGTGATAGGGGAAGACACAGCCCCTACAGACACTGCTTCACAGGTCTGTTTTAATCCAGGGCCTTCCCTGCCAAATCCACTACTGTGTCCCAAAGAGGAGCCCTACTTAGAGAGTTCAAACCACTGTTCAGTGTCAGAAAGAAAAGGCAAAAACCCTAGCATCTGCCTTCCTGCTGAGAAGTCTTCCCTGTGTTTTGCCCCAGGAAACCATCCTGATGTTTCTGCCAGGCCCAGGATGGCCATGTCTCTGGGTTTTGCAGGCATGAATGAGGCCGTGGCACCCAGGATTGGAATGGAGCAATGTAGCTGCCAATTCTCCTATGCTACATGTTTTCGTGGCCCACAGCCTGAGATGGAGGAAGAAGACAGGGACTCAGAAGCACACTCCATGGCTCCCCTCACCTCCCCACCTTCTGCAGGAAGTCCACTGGCCCTGCCCTGGAGGCCTGCCCGGGCCCACAGCTGCAGCACCGAACCTCTGTGGAGGAAAAGCCACATCTGGCCCGAGTACTGCTCCAGGGCACTGAGACAGCTGAAAGCTGCACCTACTAGTGCCTCTGAGGGCTTCATCCAACTCACGGAGAGCTTACTCGAGCTACAAGACATTTTAGAAGCTTCCTGGGGGGATGGGAACAAACACCCGCCAGACAAGTGCACCTGGCACTTTTCTGAAAGCCGGAGCCGCCTCTGCATGGGCTCCCAGAAGCTCCTGTCCAGCTGTCAGCACGTGATCAGAATGGACCAGTCCCCCGAAGAGATGCAGGGCGCTGTGCGTGATACCTTCCAGCATCTGGTCCAGCTGGCTGGCCTGTGCTTCCAGCTCACGGACTGCAGCCGCTGCTCCGCCCGGCACAGGGAGGCAGCTGGGAACCTGAGGGACGTGGTGTACACCTACTGCCAGTTTGTGGAGGCCGCTAAGCTGACCTGTGAGAGAGGCTACCACAACCTGAGTGTGAAACTCTTGGCCCATCAGTGCACGGCCCTCACAGCCTCTGTGTTCTGTTTGACCCATAAATTCCGGGCATCCACTGCCCTGTGAGCAGGCCAACTGCCCAGGGCACCCTGCCCTGCCCTGGACATTCCCTGAGAAGCCCCCTTCATTCCCTCACCTCCCCCTTCAAATGTTTACTATTTAGAGTATTCAATAAACTGCTGCTTATTCTTGTCCTGAATCATACAGAGCAATGATAAGTTTGGGTCAAAAGCTTTCACATTCAACATTCACATTCAGCAGTCATTCACTGACTACCTCCTCTGTGCCAGGCCTTGTTCTAGAAGCTTGGGATATAAAGATGAATAAGACTAGACCCTGCCCCTGATCAGGACACCTACAGATCCTCAGGGGTTACAGATAGATTGCCACCAGTAAAGTGTGTACTGTAAAAGGAGTATACCCGGGGTGTGTGGGAACAAGATGAAGTCACAGACTTTGTCCCAAGAAGGCAGGGATGAGGGAGGAAGGTAAGGGTCCCTGAAAAACAGTCTTGACTCCTCATATCATACCATATAAATAACCCTTACATATAGGAGTGAATACACGTGATATTTGATAGACTCTACTTTCACTATTTTGGAGCACAATTCTACTCTGACACGTGGGGTCGCCATGAGTTGGAATCGACTCCATAGCAACTGATTTACTGGTTTTTGGAGTCCCTGGTAGCGCCTGTGATTAAAGCATTCAGTTGCTAACCAAAAGGTCAGTGGTTTGAGTCTACCCAGAGGCACGTTGGAAGAAAGGCTTGGTGATCTACTTCCAAAAAACCAGCCATTGAAAACCCTATGGAGCAGAGTTCTACTCTGACACCCATGGAGTCGCCATGAGTTGGAATCGACTCCATGGCAACTGGAAACTGGGATACCTTCACTTTCGGTTTTCAGCATCTGCACCAGGAGGCCTGATATTATTGGCTACTTCCCTGCAGCAAGCAGAAAGTTTCAGTAGGTGGCAGTAAGTTCCTTAGTTGCCTGGCCACCCACATTCAGTCGTGCACTGTTTTATCTGAAATTGACTGTACCCCTTAATTTTGCAACCCTATTTCTGTTTTTTTGTTGTTGTTGTTGTTATTTAGGTGAAAGTTTACAGCTCAAGTTAGTTTCTTATACAAAAATTTATACACATATTGTTTTGTGACATTAGTTGCAATCCCTACAATGTGACAGCACACTCCCCCTTTCCACCCCAGGTTCCCTGTGTCCATTCGACTAGTTCCTGTCCCTTCCTGCCTTCTCATCCTGCCTCTGGACAGGACCTATTTCTGTTTTAAATGTATAAAAAGGCAAACATGAAAACCCAACTTTAAACTGAATTAGATTTTCTCTTTAAGAATACTATTAGAGTAAAATAAATATATTCAGTGTCTTTCTCATTAATCCCAGTTAAACCACTTAATCTTTTTTCTTCTTTTAATTGTACTTTAGATGAAGATTTATAGAACAAATAGTTTCTCATTAAACAGTACACATATTGTTTTATGACAATGGTTAACAACCCCACGACATGTCAACACTGTCCCTTCTCAGCCTTGAGTTCCCTATTACCAGCTTTCCTGTCCGTCCCCTCCTGCCTTCTAGTCCTTGTTTCTGGACTGTTGTGCCCCATTAGTCTCGTTTTGTTTTATGGGGCTGTCAAATCTTTGGCTGAACAGTGAACCTCGGGAGTGACTTTACTGAGCTAAAAGGTTGTCTGGGGGCCATACTTTTGGGGTTTCTCCAGACTGTCAGGCTACTAAGGCTGGTCTTTTTTTTGTGAGTTAGAATTTTTTTCTACATTTTTCTCCAGCTCTGTCCAGGACCCTGTGTTGTGATCCCGGTCAGAGCAGTCAGTAGTGGTAGCCGGGCTCCATCTAGTTGTACTGGACTCAGTCTGGTGGAGGCTGTGGTAGATGTGGTCCATTAGTCCTTTGGACTAATCTTTTCCGTATGTCTTTAGTTTTCTTCATTCTTCCTTGCTCTCTAAGGGGTGAGACCAGTGAAGTATCTTAGATGGCTGCTCACAGGTTTTTAAGGCCCCAGATGCTACTCACCAAAGTAGAATCTAGAACATTTTCTTTATAAACTATGTTATGCCAATTGAGCTAGATGTTCCCCGAGACCATTAAACCACTTAATCTTGGTGGGACCTCAGACAAGGTACTAAACCTCTCAGTGCTTTGGTTTTCTTTTCTGTAAATTGGGGATACCAATAATGCCCACCTTATAGGGTGGACATCTGGCAAATACTTACTCTAGTAAATAATAAATGTTAGTAATAATCACCTCCTAGTCTGAAACCTTTCCCTGTATTTTGTTCTCAGACTGCAGAGTAACTGATTTCAAGATACCCCTGGAATGCCTTTTTCCTGGCTTCTCTGTCCAGGCCAAAGGTGGTTCAGTCACCTACCTTAGGCTATTAAACCAAAACCAAACCCATTGCCATCAAGAAGATTCCAAAAGAAGTCCCTTTGTCCCTCTGATGCTCCTCACCAGTTGTGCATTTAGTGTTGCCCCTGTGGCTCCTCTCCTCTGTTGTGTGTCATTGTGTCAATTCCAATACATAACGACCCTATAGGACAGAGAAGAACTGCCCCCTGTGGTTTCCAAGGCTGTAATCTTTGCAGGAACAGATTGCCAGGTCTTTTCTCCCATGGTGCAGCTGGGTAGGTTCAAACTACCAACCTTTAGGTTAGCAGGGAGTGCTTAACCACTGTGCCACCAGGGTTCCTTCTCTTCTACCAAACCCAAACCCATTGCCATTGAGTCGATTTCGATGCGTAGCAACCCTATAGACAGAATAGAACTGCCCCATAGGGTTTCTAAGGCTGTAAATCTTTACGGAAGCAGATTGCTACATCTTTCTCCCAAGAAGCAGCTGGTGGGTTTCAACCACCAAACTTTTGGTTAGCAGCCAAATGCTTAATCACCTTTAGGGCTCTCCAATTTCTTCCTTCCCCTAGAAAAAGCAGGAACAGAGATGAGCATGCTAAATCATGTATCTAGGCTCTCTCCAATCAGAAGGAAAGCAATATTTTTGGAGAAGAGGAAAACGTATCCTTCCTATCCATTCTTAGCAGTTGTCAACTAGTTACCAGTTAATTAGTATTTGTGCCGGGAAGAGGTATATTATAGGCCTGTTTTCTTTTTGCAGAATACTGTGAATAAATTTTAAATAAGGCTTTTTAACACAGATTTGAAGTGATTTCATAGCAATCAAAAATAGGAACAAAATGACACCAAAATTATAGAAATTCTATGTTATTAAACAGAACTTGAATACTTTTGCCAACAGGAAGCTATGAACAGCTAAATCACTTATTTACACAGACACAGTTTACATGTTCACATGTTTAGGGAAGGATCTCAGGACTTCAATTCAACCAGGGCTTGAATCCTGGCTGTGGCCTGTTCCATCATAGTCATGTCTCTGGGCCTCAGTTTCACATCTGACAAAAGGATATAATACTGGTCTCCATTTACTGAGGGCCTACAATGTGCCAGATGCCTTCCTTGGATATTTGAACACATTTTCTTATCTACATGACAACACTCTGAGGTAGTGATTGTTATATAATACACATTCAAAATTGTGAAAAATAAATAGAAGGCAGAAAGAAAACTGAAACCTCTGACAAAGGCACTCAGTAAATGTTTGTTTCCTTCTTTCTTTGCTTTCCCCGCCCCTCAAATCCATTAATTTTCTTGGGTTGCTTCTGTCTGGAGCTGGTGTTTTGCTGTGCAGTTCCCATGAGGAACACTAAGTCCCAGAAGTGCTGAGAAGTCCCTCATTGCTTGTTGAGAAGCTGAAGTGCAGGGAAAGTTGTCCTGTTCAGCGCTTTCTTTGAAACGCACAGCCTATACATGAGATAGGCAGGATGGGGCCGCCTACTCCACAATGCAAGAGTTGATTGCTTAATGACTAAGAAACTACTGGACATTTACACCTCTCCTTTTTCCCACCCACCATCATATTGGCTGATCCATTTTTTTCAACACATATTTATGGAACATGCGTGCCCGGTAATACCTGATGCAGGATTATAGATGTAAATAATCAGGCAAGAATCCTATTTCCAGGAGCTCTGGTCTAGGAGAGGAGATGACACGCAGAGACCACAACGTAAGGCATGGTGTGCTTAGGGCCACCAAAACCCTAAGGTGTTATGAGAAGTCAAAGTAGAGACAAGTCATTTTTTGGTAGGGGCAGAGTAGTGATCAGAGAAGGCTTCATGTCGGAGGTAGCATTAACTAAAACTAGTATGTCAAGAAGTATTTATTAAGTATCTACTGTGTGTCAGGCCCTGCATTTGGTGGAAAAGAAACTAGGATTTGATGTCTCAAGAAAGGAGAAAAATCATTCACTTGTTCTTTCTGTCAACAAATGTTTACTACACAGTGGCACTGGGAATACAACCATGAACATGACAGATGTAGTTGTACAGAGTTTATAATCTAATAGGAATGGCACAGAAAAAAAAAAATCATGTTGTATAAAGAAAATAAAGAGAGTGCCAGACGGGAGTGGGATGAGCCAATCTTACCTAAGTGGTCAGTAAAGGCCTCTCTGAAGAGGGAATGTTTAAGCTGAAGCCTAAAAAATAAGAAGAAACCAGCCATGGAAAAAGTGAGAGGAAACGCATCTGTAAAAGCCCTTGGTGAACTGGAAGCATTTCAAGAAGACAGGTGTGTCTGTAGCATAGCAAACAGGAGGAGCAGTTGACAGGAGATGAAACTGGAGGGGCAGGCAGGAACTTGGCTGTACAAGGCATGGCAAAGGGATTAGATTTTATACCCATGTATGATAAGCCACTGAGGGGTTTCAGCAAGGGAGACACACAATCATCTGGCATATGGCTGGAGTGGGGATAGAGGGAGGAGTGAGACCAGTTAGGAGGGTGTTTCAAAGGGGAAGTGGCCATGAGCTCATTCAGAGGTGAAAGGACACAGTGGTGGCAGGGAGGGGGCACAGAAGGGCAGGAAGGCAGAAGGATATTCAATTATAGCTGAGTGTGAGGTTCAGGGACTGGTAGGTTTGGTGGGAGCTAAAACCTGAAAGGGCCATTGAAGACCGTTTGAGTCACTTTGCATCCCCCCCGCTGAGGGATTTCAGCATGCAGTGGGAAGTCAGGGTTAGCTTCTAAACAGCGAAGAGACATTAGAGCTGGGCTTTACAAAAAGCCTAATGGGGGGAAATTTTTAGTTTTAGGATTTAAAAAGTTGCCATGGTACGGGATAAACAATGGATTGAAGCATGGATTGGGGAATGCGTGGGAGAGCACGAGGAGCTATGTAGAGTCCAGAGAGGAAAACAGCGAGGGGCCTAAGAGGAGATATTTCTGGTTCATTCATGGTAGAGTCTCTCTGAAAGCGTGACACCCCAAGGACCGCAGGAGTAGAGTACAGAGTGGCTGACAGTCTTTATCAGGCCAAGGCTTGTGCAATTAGCTTCATCTCTCTGAGTCTCAGTTTGGTGGAGATCGGGAGGGAAGAGAGACCAGAGGTTAGATTCTTTACCTGACCAAGCTGGGATATCTCTATATTGTGAGCCTGGACAGCCAGGTAGTGGGGAAGGGGGCTGTGTGGTCAGAAAAGGGCTGTGTCAGCTCGAGGGCCCTGCTGGCTGTGGGGAAGCCAGGGGAAGGGTATCGTGGCTGCGGGATGAAGAGTGGCTGGAGTCTTGGTTTTAGTCCAATTTCCAATGCCCAGTTCTTGACAGCCAACAAAACACCTGATCATCTGCAGCAGCCCTATGAGGTCTAACAAACAAGGAAACGAAGTTCAGAAAGTGGCGTCAACACTCCCGTAAGGCCGCAGCTCTCTAACGTCAGTGTTAGGGGTGGAAGCCCCAGCCTACGCTCTGGCCCAGCACACAGAGCAGTCAGCCTGAAAACTACAATTCCCAGGATGCGCTCGGCGAAGAACCTGGAACCGGAAGTGATTCTGGGGGCGGAGCCAAATGTGCGCTGCTGCTGCCGCGTGAGGTGACGGAATCAGGTACGCCCAGGGGTTGTTCTCGTGGTGCGGAGCAGGGGCCGGGGATCTGGATACCGACAGTCACCACGCTCGCGGGCCGGACGGGTGCTGGGGAAGTAGCATTTAACAGTTATCTGGCCCAGGGTATCCCACCGTCCTGGTTCTTTCCCTTCCGGTCTGCCTTCGCCTACGCAGCCTGAGGGCCATGCGGGACCTACAGACGAGGTATTCTCGGGTCTGAGGTCTAGGTGTTCTGAAGGTGCCAGAGGAGTGGAGCCAGCTTCGGTAGATTAAAATTTAGAATGAAAAAATCAGAGACGTATGCAAAGAGGCTGTTCCGTTACTTATCGCCCGTGTATACGCGCATCAGGTGGGACTTGGCCTGAAAAGGTCTGAGGTCAACCCAGAGATGGGAGTGGGGGTGGAGGATTCATTAATTCAGCAAGTATGTATTCAGCGTGTAGTATGTACCAAGCCATTTTTTAAAAGTAGGGGATACTATAGTGAACAAAGTGAACAAAAACCCATTCATTCTAGGGATTGGGGAGGCTCAGACAAAAAATAAATAAGATATATGCCATGTCGCATAGTGAAAACCTGAGTGAAGTGCAAAGGTAGTTATGTAAATACATGAGGGAAGAGCATTGCAGGTAGAGATAACAGCAAGTGCAGAGGCTCTGAGCTGGAAATATCCTTGGTATCTTTGAGGAAACAGCAAGTAGACTAGAGAGTGCAGAGGAAAATAGATGGGGGGAGGTAGACCTTGATGAGCCACACAGGCTACTGTAAGATTTTGGCTTTTACTGTACATGGGAAACTGCAAGGTTCTGAGTAGAAGAGTGATAAACGATTATTAAACATTTAGGATGCTCCTATTCTGTGAGATTCAGTGCTGACTTCTGGAATGTGTAGGTGAATTCTTAATCCTCTCTTCTCTGGAAGGGTTTATAATCTCGTGGGGAAACAGGCAGACCAGCTATCATTGGAGCCCCATGAAGACAGAATGAATGCCATCCCCAAATCTCCAGCATGTACGATTATGACAGGTGCTTAGTAAATGTTTGTTAAATGACTGGATAAGTAGTTGAATAGCCTCAATGCCCAGCACAGGACCTGGAGGCTCAGAGATTTTTGTGTTTGTGTGTATGTGCTTTAAGTGAAAGTTTACAGTTCAGGTTAGTTTCTCATACAAAAAATTTTTTTCTTATTTTTTTCCCATACAAAAATTTATACATACATTGTTATGTGACTCTAATTGCTCTCTCCATACTGTGACAGCACACTCCTCCCTTCCACCCCCAGTTCCCCATGTCCATTCAACCAGCTCCTAACCCTCTCTGCCTTCCCGTCTCACCTCCAGACAGAAGCTGCCTGTTTAGTCTCCTGTATCTACTTGAGCTAAGAGGCACACTCCTCACGAGCATCACTCCATGTCCCACAATCCAGTCTAATCCCTGTCTGAAGAGTTGGCCTCGGAAATTGTTTTAGTTCTGGGCTGATAGAGAATCCAGGGGCCATGCTTTCTGGGGTTCCTCGAGTCTCAGTCAGATCATTAAGTCTGGTCTTACTAGAATTTGAGCTCTGCGCCCCACCTTTCTCCTGCTCCATCCGGGACTCTCTGTTGTGTTCCCTGTCAGGGCGGTCATTGGTGGTAGCCGGTACCATCTAGTTCTTCGGGTCTCAGGCTAATGAACTCTCTGGTTTGTGTGGCCCTTTCTGTCTCTTGGGCTAATACCTTCCATGTGTCTTTGGTGTTCTTCTTCTTTACTCCAGGTGGTTGGGACCAATTGATGCATCTTAGATGGCCACTTGCAAGCTATTAAGACCCCAGACACCACTCATCAAAGTAGGATGCAGAACATTTTCTTAATAAGCTTTGTTATGCCAGTTGACATAGATGTCCCCTGAAAGCATGGTCCCCAGACCTCTACCCCTGCTACTCTGTCCCTCAAAGCGTTTGATTGTATTCAGGAAACTTCTTAGCTTTGGTTTAGTCCTGTTGTGCTGACTTACCCTGTAATGTGTGCTGTCCTTCCCTTCACCTAAGATAATTCTTACGTACTATCTAGTTAGTAAATAACCCTCACCCTCCCTCCCCACCCTCATAACCATCAAAGAATGTTTTCTTCTGTGTTTAAACCTTTTCTTGAGTTCTTATAATAGTGGTCTTATGCAATACTTGTCCTTCTGTGACTGACTAAATTCACTCAGCATAATGCCCTCCAGCTTCCTCCATGTTATAAGATGTTTCACGGCTTCATCGTTGTTCTTTATCGTTGTGTAGTATTCCATTGTGTGGATATACCATAATTTGTTTATCCATTTGTCCGTTGATGGGCACCTGGGTTGTTTCCATCTTTTTGCTATTGTGAACAGTGCTACAGTGAACATGGGTGTGCATATATCTATTCGTGTGATGGCTCTTATTTCTCTAGAATATATTGCAAGGAGCGAGATAGCTGGATTGTATAGTACTTCTATTTCTGGCTTTTTAAGGAAGTGCCAAATCGATTTCCAAAGTGGTTGTACCATTTTACATTCCCACCAACAGTGTATAAGTGTTCCAGTCTCTCCACAACCTCTCCAGCATTTCTTATTTTGTGTTTTTTGGATTAGTGCTAGCCTTGTTGGGGTGAGATGATATCACATTGTAGTTTTGATCTGCATTTCTCTAATCTCATATAAGAATTTATGCACACATTTTTATGTGACCCTAGCTGCTCTCTATATAATGTGACAGCACACTCCTCCTTTCCACCCTGGATTTCCCATGTCCATTCAACCCGCTCCTGTCTCTTTCTGCCTTCTTATCTCGCCTCTGGACAGGAGCTGCGCATTTAGTCTCATGTATTGAACTAAGAAGCACAGTCTTTATGAATATCATTTTATGTCTTATTTTATGGACTTATTAAATTTAATAAGTCCAGTCTAATCTTTGTCTGAAGAGTTGGCTTTGGGAATGGTTTTAGTTGTGGATTACAGAGAGTCTGGGGGCCATGTCTTCTGGGCTTCCTCCAGTCTCAGTCAGATCATTAAGTCTGGTCTTTTTACTAGAATTTGAGTTCTGCACGCCACTTTTCTCCTCCTCCGTCAGGGACTCTCAGAGAGGATTTTTGAATGAAGGAATGAAAGTGCCAAATTTGGGCATAGATAATGTGCCACACGGATTAAGTAGATCTGTGCTTCTGTGATGCCCAGCTTCACCTTTGCTTTTTGAGAATCGTTAGGTAGCAGCCTTCTACACAGTATTGACTGAGCTTCCATTCTGTGCCAGCTCTTGTGCTGGTCACTAAGAATACAAATATAAAAAGAAAAGGTTAAAATTAATTATCTTAGCGTCTACCTTAACAAGCCAGAAAAAGAACAGATTGAACCCAAAGAAATAGAAGGAAGGACATAAATAAAAGCAGAAATCAATGAAATAGATAAACAATAGAGAAAAATAAGTGAAACCAACAGTTGATTCTTTGAAAAGAGTAATAAAATTGATAAGCGCCAGCCAGCCTGGACAGATCAATGGAAAAAAAAAAAACACCACAGAAGAGGAGAGAGACACACACAAAGTACAAATATCAGGAATGAAATAGGGGACATCACTATGGATCCTACCTGTTACCTGTTGCTGTCGAGTCAATTCCGACTCATAGCGACCCTATAGGACAGAGTAGAGGAGAGGCTGATGGATTTGAACTGTCAACCTTTTGGTTAGCAGCTGAGCTCTTAAACACTGTGCCACCAGGGCTCCATAGATCCTACAGATGTTGAAAAGATATTTGTGAATAGCTTTATGTCAGATTTGACAACTTAGGTGAAATAGATTCAGTGAAGGATTTAGGTGCCTAAGTAATTCAGTTGGGAAAAAAAAAATCATGCTGAGCCTCCTCATATCCATATGGAAAAAAAGACCTTAACGCCTACTTCACACCATACACAAAAATAAATTTGAGATGAATTATAGACCTAAATGTAAAAACTAAAACTATAAATCTTCCAGAAGAGAATAGAGGAGAATATCTTTGTGACTTCGGGGTAGGCAAAGATTTCTTAGACGACACAAAAAACATTAAGCATAAAAGAAAAAAAATTGATAATTTAGACTTGATCAAAATTTAAAAGTTCTGTTCATCAAAAGATGATGTTAAGAGAATGAATAGGCAAGCCACAGACTGGGAGAAAATATTCTCAATTCACATATCTGGAAAAGGACTTAGATCCAGAATATATGACAAACTTCTACAACTCAGTAATCAGAAGATAATTTAAAAATGAGTCAAAGACTTGAACAGATACCTCACAAAGGAATATACATGATGAATGGCCAATAAACTGCATGGAAAAATGCTTGATATCATTAATAATCAAAGAAATGCAAATTAAAACCACAACGAGGCTCCCCTACACAAGAATGGCTAAGATTAAAAACACTGACAACAGTGTTGGCAATGAATGTGGAACGTCTGAAATTCTCATACGTTTCTGGCAGCAGTATAAAGTGGTACAGTTACTTTGGGAAACTGAAGGAAGTTTCTTGTAAGTTAAGTACACCTATCCAGTGACCCAGCAATTCTACTCTTAGGTACGTAGCCAGTAGATGGTGAAAACATATGTCCGCAAAAACACTTGTATGAGAATGTTCATAGCAGCTTTATTCATAATAATCCCAAACTAGAAAAAGCCCAAATGTTATCAACAGAATAAATAAATTGTGATATATTCTTACAGTGGGATACAACTCAGCAATAAAAAGAGAACAAAGTACATACAGCAACACATATGAATCTCAAAAGCATACTGAAGAGGAAGAGCCAGGTTCAAAAGCGTACATACTGTTTGAATCCATTTAAATGAAGTTTAGTGGTTGTCTTTAGCAGTCAGTGGGGATAGGATAGAAATTGACTTGGAAAGTACAGAAGAAAGTGAACTTTCTGGGACAGTGGAAATGTTCTGTATGTTGATAGGGGTGTAGGTAACAGTCTGTACATTTGTCAAAACTCATTTAACTGTACTCTTAAATTTTTTGCATATTACTGTATGTAAATTATCCCTAAAAAAATTTAAAGATGAAGGTAGGTAACAGAATTAAATATAATAGAGGTGTAAAAAAGGTGCGATGGGGGTGTCTGACCTCTTCTAACTTCACATAGGGGAAGGAGAATCAAGATCAACAGACCAAGGCCGATTCCTATGAGGCAGAAGTCAGACATGCCTCCACTCTAACCCTTTTACCAGTTCTGACACCAACCATCCCTTCCATGGCATTCTCTACTTCTCTGCTGTGTTCGATAATTTTTTGCAGTGGCCACACACAACTCACAGACAATACTCAAGATTATAGGGTTTATTAGGGACGTGACAGGTTACAATTCAGGTTCAGGAACCCTCAGGATACAGTTCTTGGATCAGGACAGCTTCTCAGCTGTGCCTTCAGGCATGCCTCTCTCTGGCTGCTCGGCCTCTGCCCTGCTTGGGCACGCATTACAGAGCTTTTAGCTCTGCTGATAAGTGCATGGAGGCACACTACTCTGCCAGTAAGCCTCAGCCCAAAGGCACTCAGCCCTCCTGTTCTGAGGGTTGGTGAGCCTTGCTCCTCTGTTAAGTGCCCGGAGGCACCCCACTCCTCCAGGAAGCCTCCTGCCCGAAGGTGCTCAGCTCTCTTCGTGGGTCGGGTCAGCGAGCCTAGCTCAGACAAGTGCATGGACGCATCTCACTCTGGCAGCAAGCCTTCTGCCCCAAGGCACTCAGCTTTCTCACTCTGTGGGCCAGAAAGGCCACCATGCTGTCTCCTGCCAGTCTCCAGTTTCTGCTGCTGTTTCTGTACCGCTGCTTCTCACTACTGCTGCTGTCTCTCTTCTGTCTCCAGTGTTACAGCCCTTTCTCTCTGTCTCCTGGATTTAGGAGCTTCTCAGCGCAGGGATCCTGGGTCCGAAGGACACACTTCATTCCTGGCTCTTCTTTCTTGATGGTGGTGAGATCCTTCCTTCCTGCCTCTAGGATGGCTCGTTTTAAGCCTAAAGGGATGGCAAAACTGACCAATCCCCTCGTTAGGGTTCCATACACCTTATTTGCATGGCCCTACCCCTTACAAGGGTGCCATGCATCTTATTTACATTATTAGCAAGCTATCCAATCCCCTTGGTGTGCCACAAGCATCTCATTTACATAGTCCCACCCAGTCATTTGGTGGGCGTTACAAAGACTGTGGCTAGAAGGGTCATATTAAGTAATTCAGTGCACTGCAAGGAGGTTAGTTTAAGTGATTTGTATTTTATGTTTTGTAGAGAGTCAATAAATTTCAAAGCTGATAAGTGAAAAAGTAATGGTGTAAGTGTATGATTTCAGGTTAGGTTGCCACTAGAGTTAGAAGGTATAGGAGTGAGGATTGTTACTTTTCATTATAAATAGCTCTTTTTACCACATGCATATATCTTAATTATATTGGTTTACATTTTTAAAGATACACTTTTCCTAAAATAATGGTAGTTTGACTGAACTCAGAGGAGCAGGCATGGGCAGTGGTCACACCACTCTTTGAGACACCTGACCATGGACTAGGGCGTTTCTGATTCCATGTTATTTCTTTCTCAGGGATTTTGAATACCACTTTGAGATTATAATGTCATTCATTAAATGTGTTGAAACATTGGTTCCCCATATGTTTTCTCCTTCAGCACTGCTGAGGGATAGTAAACATTTCCATTGGTGACTGTGGCTTTTTGCTGGAGTGATGCTCAACTAAGTTGGAGGAGAGAATAATAGTTTTAAAAACCAATTCTGATACATCACCAGCAACCTAGAAGAATTCACTTATCGTAGTTTTTGGTTAGCTCTTCATTCTCCCCGCATATTTCTAGTACAGAAACTTGCACATAGTAGGTGCTCAATAAACATTTGCTAAAGGACTCATTTTGAAAATAAACTTTGAAATATAATTGTGGAAGTGACTTTTGCTATCTCTTGTCCCACCCTCAAATCATGTAGTGCGTTTCAAAGAACAGAATAAGTGGCTTGGTTAAGTGTCAGGAGCTGCACTTGTCTTCTAAGAAGTGTATTTAGCTTCCTTACTACTAAATGTTTCTATATCTGAATCATTTTTCTGGAAGGTACACATGCATTTCTCAGTTCAATAAATTTGGGTCACTGTTTTACACACAATAAATTATTTGTCATTTGGATATAGGAGATACCTGCATATTTAAAATAATATGTCACAGAACCGTACCTTTTTCCAGTCTGGGTGAACAGGACAGAGAACTAAGCACATGGACTGGAAATTGGAAGGGAGTGCTTGGGAAACAAAGTCGCACGTGCTGCTGGGCCAGGAATGCCTCCTTGAGGACATAGGTGAAGATGATGTCTCTGAAAGCTTCCAGCTTCTGCAGATTGACATGGAATGTGAGAGCCAAGAGAGAAGGAGCCTGCCTACGGGCAGTGCATCCTGGTGCTCGGTGAGTGCAGTGAGCTGCCGGGGCCATGGACTTTGTGATGAGACCGCTGTTCTGAGAGTAGATACCAGTTATAAAAGGAGAAACTGGGAATGAGTTTTGTGTATCGCAGGTGATGAATTTTGTTATCTGGCTTAGGGTTTCAGTTCATTTGAGTCATAAAACCAAAAACCAAACCCCTTGCCATTGAGTTGATTATGACTCATAGCAGTCATATAAGACAGAGTAGAACTGCCCCATAGGGTTTCCAAGGAGCGGCTGGTTAAAACAGCCATAGCTGTTAACCACTGTGCCACCAGGGCTCCTTTGAGTCATAGGAGAAGTAAACAAGAGATCAAGAGGAATTTTTTGTACATGTCAGAAGGGTCAGGAAATCTAAACTCTTAAGTCTTGAATTAATCTTGACCTTGGGAAAGTCATGTCTCTTTTTCTGGGGTTCTGTTTTTTTCTAAATACAATCTAGTCTACGTTTGTTTTTTAAGACTAATATCCTTTTTCTCTCCTAACTTTAAATAAATAATGAAGTAACTGTTTCTAATATTCACTTTCCTTTTTGGTGCTTATGAAGTTCTCAAACAATTTTGTTTTCTGGATAACGTAAGAAAAATGTGCAAAGAAAACAGAAACACTGGGAAAAGATGGTTGCAGCAAAGAAGAGCAAAAGAAAGCAAGAAAAGGAAAGAAGAAAAGCCAATCGTGCTGAAAATCCAGGTAACGATAAACCAGTTTACCGGTGTAATCATATTTATTTCTTAGGAAACTGGTGTGCTAGAAGAGTAGGAAAATGTTTAAATCAAAACAAACGTCTGGAAGGTACGACCGGTTGTCCTGTTTGGTGAGAATGTAGTATCAAAGAAAACAAAATTTAAGGCTACCTTTCAAATATAAGCTGTCTAGTGAACGTGTTTATAAACTCAGAAGGAATGATACCAACAACAACACAGTAATGCTAACATTATTCAGTGCTATGTGTTAGGTTCAGTGCTAAGACTTTTACTTGGATTACTGTAGGGAGTAAGTAATATTATCACCCTTGTTTTGTAGGTAAAGAGACTGAGGCTCAGAGAGATTAGGTAGCATGCCCAAGGTCATATAGTTAATGAGAGAACTAAGATTGAATCCCAGCAGTCAGTTCCAGGGCCCACTCTGGTATACCTAAATCTGGTGAATGTGTACCTTGTACAAGTCCCAAGTTTCTCTTTATGTGCAAAGAGTACTCACTTGGCTGGAGAGAGATTTCTTACTGAATATTTTTTTTTTCCACTTTTATTCGTTTCTCATATTTCTGTCGTAGGCATCCGCCCCCAGCACAGCAAACGTTTTTTGAGAACCTTAACCAAAGAGAGACTTTTGGAAGCCAAACACTCAGGACCAAGACTTTGTATTGATTTGAGTATGACGGACCACATGTCTAAGAAGGTAGAACATCCACTAAGCCCCAAATTCCAGCTTTCAGGAGGGAGGCCCAGAAAGGAGCAGCTTTCACGAAGAGCATGATCAGCTCCAGCTTCTGTGATTCTTTAGTAAACCAATAAGCGTTTGGTTTTCTCCAGGGGACTGCTGAGTTCTGAGATGGCTGCTGTAAAGAATCTGAAAGAGAATAGACATCCTTCAGTTGAGTTAGCGAATTTTTACCTTATTCTTCTGGTTTGAGCCTAATACCTTTCCCTCTCTTTGGTGTCTGCAGTCTTGATAAACCCTTTCGGGTTCAATTCTCCAGAGAGTAAACCTTGGTCTTCTGCTGGCAGGGAGGGATATTTGCCAGGTTGCATGTTCTGGGAATGTTACCTGGTGGTAACATTACATACCTGCAATGTATGTAAACTTTAAACAGATCTTTCTGTTTTCCCTTGTTGTATGTGCTAGTGTTTACATGTTTTTCAGAGAAACTAGGAAAACTGCAGACCTGGAGTTACTACATTGGAACCTCTCTAGCCCTCCGAAAAGGTCAACCAGGAATTCTCTGCTGTTTATATTAATTGTGATGTCAGATTAAATCAAACCCAAAAATTTTTTTTCCCCTCTACTGAACCAAATCAGGCTAGATTGTGAAACCGCCTTTCTATAAAGGATGATGTCTCTGAAGTCAGGGTGGACTTAGGGAGAAGGTACCAAATTTTTCTGATGGAGTATAAAAATCTCTGTATAGTAATTCTAACTTTTTAAAAAATAATTTAAATAGTAAGCATCACTTGGTAAGATTTTAGATAAATGCTAAAGTAACAATTTCAAAATCATCTTAGAAATTGTGGGTGGGAGCACGATAGCAGGTCCGGAAGTAGGCAGAATTCTCAGTTTTTCCATTAACTCACTATTTCCGGGCTATTATCATCACCTTAATTTTCAGCTGTAGTGTGCAATGCCATAGGGTGTACTGTGTGCTCACACATCCGTGTACTCCTGGTTTAAAAGGGGCCAGCCGAGTTCATGAGGTCATGAGTAGCATTCAGTGTATTTGCTGAGCAACCATTTGTTGATAATGAGTTTAGAGTGAGTTGGCACATTTTCACCTCGAGTTGTCCTTATTTCTTTGAAGGAGTTAAGTAGACTGGCAGGACAGATCCGAAGGTTGTATGGTTCAAATAAAAAAGCTGACAAGCCATTTTGGATCTGCCTTGCTGGATTCTCAAGAGACAGTCCGCTGTATGAAGAGTGTTTGAGGATGAATGATGGGTTTTCCAGTTACATGGTAAGTCTCTTTTTGCATATTATTTGAATTCTCATCTGAAAAGTGATTGTGGGGTAATAGTAAATTGTATTTTTTACTTTTTCACATTTTGATGTAAAAAAATATCAATTATATGCTTTCACTTTTGCAGTCTAAAAAGATTGAGAACCTCTCATCAGTTGCTACATTTAAAATTTTTTTCTCATCTTTCCCCTGCAGTGGCAGACCAGTATTACCAGTATCTAGAAGTGTGTTTCTATATCTTGTGTACTGTATGCAGTAGGAGCCCTGGTGGCGCAATGATTAAACACTCGGCTGCTAACCGAAAAGGTTGGCAGTTTCAAACCCACCCAGCAGCTCTGTGGGAGAAAGGCCTGGCAATCTGCTCCCATAAAGATTACAGCCTAGAAAGCCCTATGGGGCAGTTCTTCTCTGTCACATGGGGTCACATGGGGTCACAACTTGACAGCACCTAACGAAAAAAAAAACTATGAAGCTTTTGGGAAATGCCACGACTCCTTTGTTTCCAGCAGTGCAGAACTGGAGAAGTTGAATTTTGGGGGAAGAGAAAGAATCCTTTTAGAAGTGATGTGGATTTAAGATGAGTTTTAGAGAGGAGGAGAAGTTGTTCTGAGTGACCATATCCAGCTTGATTGGAAGGCGGGATCCTGGGTTCTAAGTTCTGCTCTTATGCAAGTGGTTCAACTTCTCTGAGCCTCAATGTCTTTGTCTATATGATGGTAGAAGTGGAGTACTAAGGTGCCTTTCAGCTCTTTCCCTAGGATGTCATAGATGTAGTGGTAGATACGCAGGTGAGAACTCAGATCAATTCCTAAGAAGTGTCGGTAAAAACGCCTTGTGTGTTTGCATCATACAGCTTTGACTGAGCAGTTGTGGCCTTCCCAAGTGTGGCCCATGGAGGTGAGGAGTGTGAAGACTGCACCCTGCAGTGCTGCACAGTTAGTTGTGGTTGCTGCTGCTGTTTTAACAGTCTCTTCTGTAGTGTGGCCATTTCCCGCCTTACTTCTCTGTACTTCTTCTTGTGATTCCTGTACATAGCCAAACAGACCTGCAGGGCCACAAAGTCCCTTTGCTTTCCTGTCTTTGTACCTTGTTTAGGCTATCCCCTCCTCTGACGGTGCTTTTCCCTTTTGTAAAGGTCCGTCTTATCTTTTTACAGAAACCCAGTTCCAGCATTCCCTTCACCAAAAGGTTCTCCCTGGTGATGTCACTCCCTCTTCTGCAGTCCTGGAGCATGTTCCCTGTGTTTATGTTAGGGCCCCGTATTACTTTCTGTCTTGTTTCCTTCTTGACTGAGCACTTTCTCAGCAGTGGCTATCATACATGTGGGCCTTTGGTGTCTCTAGAGCCATACCTGATAGAAAGTAGATGTCCAGTAACTAGTTGTTGCATTGTAGGCTATGTCTTAACCTAATTCTCACTACATTGGAATATTTGTATTTTTCAGCTAGACATAACAGAAGAAGACTGCTTTAGTTTATTTCCTCTGGAAACCCTTGTGTACCTGACACCTGATTCTGAACATGGTATGTACTTTGCTGCATGAATTTGTGTAATACATTGTTCTTAGCCCTTTGTTTCATTATTGCCTGTGACCAAATTTGTTAAAGCCACCCCCCCCCAAAAAAAAAAAAGGAATGAACATTAATTGCACATCTCATGGGCAGATACCTCATTGGATGTTTTGCATATGTCCTACCATGTGCACACAACTGCACAGATTTAGGGTTTCCGTCCTCATCTGGACCTTTCACGCTGCCTGGTGATCCTTTCCAGTTCTCTTTGTCAGGTCCCCCTGTCGACCATGCCTGGGTCAATGTTTATATATATATTTATATATTTTTTAATATATTATTTATTTTTATATACATAAAATATTTTTATATATTTTTTACTATAAGATCCATTTTACATAATTTTGAAATTTATTGGTATTAAGTTGATCATAGCATTCTCTTTAAATTATTTCATGTTTCTCTGTGTCTTTAATTTTGTCTCCTTTGTAATTCTAATTTTTATTTGGGTGTGATAATTTTTTTTCTTAATTAGATATGCCAAAGATTTGTCTACTCTGTTGATCTTTTCAGAGATTTAACTTTTGGTTTTATTGAGCAAGTCTACTATCTTTTTGTATTGTATTTCATTACATTTCTACTTTAAAGTAGTTCTTTCCCTCTTTCTTTGGATTTAGAAATTATAAAAACAGATTTGATCTAAATGGCTGTTATTTTTTCATTAGCTCTTGAAGATGTTGATGTAAACAAAATTTACATTCTTGGTGGACTTGTGGATGAAAGCATTCAGAAGGTGAGTGCACTGTTTAGGCCCAACAACTGTATCTTGAAAAGTGGGGCTTACTTTTAGAGGCACCTACCCAGTCATAATCTTACCCAAAGGGTTTAAGAACTCAGAGGGTACAGGAAGAAGAAGCCTGTTCTCCCTAGATTAGCCCTCCCACCTGGAAGTTCCCGCTCTCCTCATCAGCAATGTCAGTAATCCAAGACCTAATAGAATCAGGAGCCAGGAATTGGAGTGGGAGTGTTTTGTAATGACAAATAGTCATCATTGAGCTTCTTTCTCCTCTGCCTCTGTAGTTCTGCAACGATAATCCTGGTGTTTACCAAATTGACTCAGCACTCTTATCAGCTGTTTGTTCTTTGTGAGAGAATAGTTTGTTCTTCTCAGGCCAGCTTCCGTGCTGACATAAATCTTTTCCTATAACCTCAAACTCAATGGAACTGTCCAGATTTCTTTTGTTGAATTGGAGCTTTATTGAAATAATTGGGGTGTCAGTGGAGTTTTAAGATATGTTTCTCTTATACAAAAAGTTGTTGAGATGATTTTATTTGCTAATTAATCTATTTTGCATGCACATGATATAATAGTTAACATATACAAAAGGGAGTAAGAAGTCTCATTCCTACCTTTGTCCCCCAGTCTCCCTCCCTAGAGGCAACCACTGTTAAGTTTTCTCTTGTATCCTTCTTGAGATATTCTGTGATCATACAAGTATGTGTTTGTGGGTATATTTTATATATGTATATAGTAAGTAGCAGAGCTAGGACTTGAACCCCAGCAGTATGGCTCCGGAGGCAGTGCTCTTAACCATCACATTAAAATGTTTCCTGTACCTTTGAGGTCCTTTCCAAGCCTGAGTTTGTTAATTATGCCGGTAATCTAAGCCCTTCCCTTTAATCATGAACTCTTAGAAATGTAGAGATCTTTCCAGTGCTTCTTACAAGGCAGTGAATGTAATTTAAACTGCAGTTCATGACTCAGGGCCATATTATAAATGGACATCAGTTACTGTACTCTGACCCTAAATGGTCTAGACTGGTGGACCTTTGAGTTCTTGTGACCCCTTTTTCCAATTTTCGGAGCACTTCCTTTTAATTGGTCTGTTTACTCTCGCATCTTAATGTTGTCTTGTTGCCAGTGGTATGCCTATCTTAAATCCTGTCTCCCTTTTCTCTAATTTGCTGCTAATAATTGGCTGAAAAACCCAAGACATCCAGAATTGAGCCTTAATGTTCTGAGTTAGGGCCAGACGTTCTTTCCTCTGATTGATTAGACTGCTTGGATTTTGTCATGCAAATTGTGTTTACTGAGGTGCCTCTTTTTGCTTATTTCCTGCTTGGATGTGATGTGGTCATGAGCGGAGGCTAGTGGATAAATGACCCCCAGATAAGTGAGGTGTTGCTGCACAAGCCATTTCTTACTTGGGAGAAGTAAATATGCTTCATTAGCCAAAGTATCTTCCATTCAGCCACGTGCTACATATTTTTAGTACATTTATCCTTTAATTATGATTAACAGATGGAAATTGGAATGGTGGTAAATGGGGATTCTTACTATTTGCTATGCATATTACAATGAGGATATAAAAATAATATTCATGTATTATTTTTATAAAAAGAAAAGTATTTAACTGTGGTTTACAGAAGGTGACATTTCAAAAGGCCCGAGAACACTCTGTCCAGACAGCCCGCTTGCCAATCCAGGAATACATGATCAGACGCCAGAATGGAAAAAACTATTACTCAGAGATATTGGCCATCAATCAAGGTACTGCTTACATGGCCCGTGCCTAACACGTGTTAGTTCTGGTGCTACCTCTTTGCATTGTGTTTAAGTATAAATGGCCCTTGATTCGATCTCCTCTGTGACTAATGTGCTTGGGCTTTATTGCATGTACCTGGTGGCATGTATACTGGCCACTCAGAGGCATTCTTCATTTTTTTCCTGGTTCCCAGCTATGTAAAGACAGTTGAAATTGCCCCCTTAGCCTAGAATGCCCTACCTTCAGCCTCTTGAAGGACATCTTGGCTGGCTCCCTTCCCCCTCTGAGGCCAGAATGGCATCCCTCCTTTCTGTTCCAATTGTAATGCATGTTTCTTTCTGTGGCATCATTGTCCATTCACTGGCCTGTCTCTGAGTGCAGGCTGAGGTCCTTGAGGGCAGGCAGAGCACATGTCTTTGCCTCTGTCTCCCCAGGACCTAGTACCACGTGTGGTGCAGAGTATGTTTGTTGAATGAAATATTCCAGAACAACCTTTTCCTCATTAGTCATTTACTAATTTTCTCTTTCCTCTTTCTGGTCACTGTGAGCTCTGTTTACCCTCTAACAGTGTTTGATATCCTGTCCACTTACTTTGAGACTCGAAACTGGCCTGAAGCACTGAAGAAAGGAGTTTCTTCTGGAAAAGGCTATGTTCTTCAGAATTCAGTGGAATGATGGACAACCTAAGACTGCAGTTGCAGGAGGCAAAGTGCTAGAAGTGGAAGAATGTATTTTTATGGTGAGGCGAAGCCCCTAGTGCCTAGATGGCACCTCCTCCCTGCCTGAGGACCAACTAGCCACACTGCCTCACTCTTGTAATACTTTTTTGGATCCTTGTATCATATGAGAAGCAGCATGTTGTGACATTTGCTTGGACTTCGAGCCAGAAAACCTGGGTCCAAATCCCAGCTCCGCCACTTAAGTAGCTTTGGGACACTGAGGCTCCAGCTTCCGTTTTTTTTCTCCAGCCTCAGTTTTCTTAAGTGAGAAATGGGAACAATGCTACCTACCTTTCAGAGTTTTGAGAATTAGTGTGTGGTGTCCTCAGCAAGTCACCGTTATATAATGTCCTAGTATGGAAGAGGGCAGACATTTGATACATTATACGTTAATATTGGATTGATTTTATTTTCTATTCTGATCTTTCCCAGCCTATCTAATAAATCCATAGAGTAAAATTAGGTCTGTGATAGCAACTGCCTTTTGCAGATTATGCACAAGTAAACCAGAGGCAATAGGGCTTGGGGAGTTTTTGTTTCCCCACTGATTTCCATTTGTAATATTTGCTAACATCCTTTGAACACTTATTATGTTCCAGAGACTATGCTAAGGATTTTGTATTATTTTATTATCCCAACAACCCCATGAGGAAGATACTATGTCATTATGTTTCCTTTTTTTTTTTTAACAGATGAGAAAATAAGTTTCACTATTTGCTCTGCATATTGCAGTGAGAATGTATGCATGTATTATTTTTGTAAAAATAAAAATATATAACTGTGGTTTACAGAGGGTGACATTTCAAAAGGCCCAAAACCTGATTAGGGTCACTCACTAGTAAGTGGTGGAGCCTGGATTTTGAACTTAGGCAGTCTAATTCCTGAGTCCCTGGGACAGAAGGGAAGCAGCTCAGCCAGGCCCCAGGGCTCAAGTAAAATACCCAGGACAAGCTCACCCACATTAAGGGTAGTTCACAAACTATAGTGGGAAGCTGGTTGGAAGTGAAAACTCCTGCCTTTCCCTGCCTCCTTTCAGTAGGTCTGAAGTGGAGTCCAGAAATTTGTGTTTGGTATTTACCTCAGTGAATTTGATACAGCTGGTCTAGGGACCACATTTTGAGAAACCCTGTTGTATACTACATTTGGGTACATGCAGCTTGCACTTTAACTTGCTCTTTCCTTCTCTCCTGTCTACGGCTACAGTAAGAATGATTTCCCATTTAGATCATCACTGGAGTCTTGATCCATCTGGCAGTTAGAAGAAGACTTGAAAATATGAATGGCCCTCATTAAGAGGCTCTAGAGAAACTTGAGAGCTTTCTGAGACTGCTTGGTCTGAGATGGACCCCTCAAGGGTAGGTTAGACACATACCCCAGTGAGTGATCTGGTATGGCTTTTGGAGAAACCAGGTTCTGTCATGGTATTCATTTCTGGACATGTGTCTTACAAGAAGCCATTTTGTCTTCTGTAACTCAAGTAGAGAAAAGTAACCACAGCCACAGCCCCTGTTTAATATCAAACTGCCTGTTAGTGAAGGTTACACTAGAGCAGGGGTGATAAGTAGGTTTTGTTAGCCCACCATCTTGATTGAACTGGTAACTGAGTTGCAAGCAGTTACAAGGCCTCAAATCAAATCCTAATACCAGTTCCCAGTCATCCATTCATATGCCGTCAGTGTTACAGGGACTTCTACCTTATTACCACTTGAGAGCCCTTGCCTTACTGGGGAGTGTGGCTTAATGTAATGCAAAGATAGTTTCTTCCTCTCCACTCCTTCCTGGTCTCCAACTCTGTCATATCCCTGTGTGCATCAAGTCCCAGCCCCTGGATGGCCTGCTTCAGTTCACTCTTTTTCTCACTACTCCTTGTTTCCACTTACTACAACTGAGATCATCCAGAACTCCATTTACCAGAAGACCAGAGGTCGGATCTTCCCAACCTATCCACCTGAGGCTTTGGGCCAGTCCAGCATCTCACACCACAGCTGGTTAGAGTGTTATGTCTGTCCTCTTTTCTTCCTGATACAGGTCCTATTTTTCCTGGAACTCTGGTTTATTCCTAATTCCAAATCCACCTTTTTCTACTTAAACAGATAGTAATTCTTATCAATACTTTATGTACATAAACAGTACGTGTTTGTTTTTTTCCCATACAAAAATTTATACATACATTGTTATGCGACTCTAATTGCTGTCCCTATACTGTGACAGCACACTCCTCCTTTCCACCCGATTCCCCATATCCATTCAATCAGCTATCCCTCTCTGCCTTCGCATCTTACCTCCGGAAAGACGCTACCCTTTAGTCTCTTTTGAGCTAAGAGGCACACTCCTCACAAGCATCACTCTTACGTCCCACAGTCCAGTCCAATCCCTGTCTGAAGAGTTGGCCTCGGAAATTGTTTTAGTTCTGGGCTGATAGAGAATCCAGGGGCCATGCTTT